AACAGATATAGGCCATTTTGCTTGTGTCCTTTCATCACAGTAAGAACACCTTTAGAAATCCTCATGACTCCACCTCTAGCTTTATACGTATAGCCATTGGAGTCAAGTGTACCCAAGGAAATAAGATTTTTCCTCACATCTGGAATATGCCTAACATTAGTAAGAGTCCTCACAATACTATTAAACATCTTGATTTGTATTGTTCCTATTCCAACAACCTTACAAGCTACATTATTTCCCATTAAGACCTTACTAGCATCAATTGATTGATAGGTGACAAACCAGTTCTGATTGGGACACACATGATAAAAATAATCTGAATCAAGAATCCACTCATTACCTGAGCTACTAATTGAATATGTGAGTACATCAGCATTAATCAAATTTTTTTTGTAACACCGGCAACGTTACCAAAATTTAAGTTTTCAATCTTTCCTTTGCCTTTATGCTTCGGACAATCTTTTCTAATATGCCCTTCCTCGTGACAATGAAAACATTTAATTTTTCTAAATCATACCCTAGATTTAAATCGGCCTCTGCTATTTAAGTCTTCTCATCAAGCAACCAAAAAAAAACATGTCTTCCCATAATTCATGCAAAGAATTCATTTGAAGCTCTCACCAAATCTTGATTTTTGTGCTATCTCCATTTTAGGCCACAAAGGGCAAAGGGCCAGAAATTGTGCTATCTCCATTTTAGGCCACAAAAGGCAACGACATTCTGTTCACTTTTTCAAGAGCGTGGGTGTTCCCTCTCTCCCTCCTTTTCTTCCCTTTTTAAAACCTTGTACGTCCCTTCACCATCTTCACAGCAAACAGCCAAAAAAAACATGTCTTCTCATAATTCATGCAAAGAATTCATTTAAAGCTCTCATCTAACCTTGATTTTTGTGCTATCTCCATTTTAGGCCACAAAAGGCAAAAGGCCTTCTGTTCACTTTTTCAAGAGCATGGGTGTTCCCTCTTTCCTTCCTTTTTTAAAACCTTGTACCTCCCTTCCTCACCATCTTCTCAGCAAACAACCAAAAAAAAAAAAAACATGTCTTCCCATTCCACAACCATGTTCCTCCCTGGATTCTCCCGAACGAACCGAGGCTCTATGTCATGTTCTCCCGCAAATAAAACGTCAAAACTTCTTGCAGGTAAACTACGGCGGATATCAAAGCATCCCAGATTTCATTTTGAATAATACTATTTGGACCTAAAATTTGACATAATTTACTGACTTAATGATATGGTTTTATTGGAATCATTAGATTACCACCAAGTTCTAATATTTGATAGAGCCCACAGCCAATCCAAAGGTCATAGTAAATTAGGTTAGCAAATTATGTCACTAAATTAAATTTCAATAACATTGCTCTTTTATTTTTACTTTTTCACTTTCTTTTATTTTTTTTAATGATCAATGGTATTTTTTTTTTAATTTGTTGGAGTATGTAATCTCTTCTGTCATCCAGTCAAAGATAGGTCATCCACGTCAGAACTAGAGTATTCATGAGGAATAAATTTCTCGTAGCTTAGTTTTAAGAGATTATCAAAATTTAAACTCATGATGTCTTAGTTTATAGTTCGTCTAAATTACTCCTTAAAGTTTTATTTTTTCACCTTCAAAGACATTGATTCTTTCACTATATTCTATTCTTATTACAACAAATACTACGCAGATTTAAAAACCTAACTAGACAATGTGATTATTATATTTTTTATTGATTTAATTGTGAATCCACTGTTTATTCAATGACAAGGATTCATTAAGTTAATATTTTTAAGTTTATTTAGCATTTTTCTTCTTATTATTCTACCGAAAAAAACTTATGATGAAACATACTACATATGAACTTACAGTAATGTTTGTAGGGTTTTGGTCTTCTGGGGCTAAACCTAGTAAAGGGGTAGATTACAGTTTTCAACTACAATGCAATTCTGTATCCAAACCAGATGAAGGTACACATGCAATTTTATTGAAATTTTACAAAAAAAAATAAAATAATGAAACTAATGACTATCCTGTTTTTATATTTATAATCGTTAACTCTTAAAACCAAATGGCCGTATATGTGCAGAATGTGTCTCTGGGTGGGCCCCTGCAGAATGACAGAAAAGGAGAAGCTCTTAACGTGGTTAGAACACTCGACTCTTTTTGCTATTTTTCCTAACAATACTTCTCTGACCAAAAAAAAAAAAAACAAGATAAAATTTAGTGGCCCAAATGATGTAGTAAAGCAACCCACCAACTAAATATTTTTGAACGCCTTTTATTATTATTATTTTTTAGTTTAATGGATATGAGTATCTGTATTAATTTATGCGTATTTTAATTAATTATTTTTTTTAAAAAAACAAAAAATAAGTCATTTATGTTAAAATTAAGATATTCATGAGATAAATCTCTCGTGCCCTCACCCTATCTAATTGCCTCTAATTATTTGTTTAGTATAAGGTTGTCGCATTATTTGACTCACCAAATTCAGTCTTCAAAATTACTGGGTTTTGCATGTGCCTGTTGAATAAATTACACCTTTATAACACAGATACTCCCTCACATTTCAAAAACTACACTGAGACCCCTTGACATTTCAATGTGTGTAACGGTCACACCCCCTTGTTTAACGGACATCAAATAAATAACAAGATAAGATGATATCATCAACAAAATTTAATATAATACCCTTTTGACATGTCATAATCTCTATTAAACAAATAAATAAATATTGAAAAGACAAGTATACACATTAGAATGAAGTTAATCTAAATAATTTTTCATAGAATATAATTAGATAATTGCTTACAATTTAATCCAAACGCCTTGCATAATTTTTCATGCAAGATTAAATTTACTACACAATTTAATTAATTGTTTACAACAATACATCTATTTACAAGTTAAATCCTCTAATTATTAATTAATTTTGATAATCAATTCTGATAACGAATTAAATTTGTAAATCCAACACTACTGCCACCACTGCAGAGGGTTTCAGAAACCACCCAGACACCAACCACCCACCAAACCAGCTCTCTCTCTCTCCCTCTCTCTCTTAGACTACCTCTGTCCTTCAATGGCATAACAACCCAATACCCAGCCCCTTAGCCAAACGTACACCACCCCTCACAAAAATCAGATTCCACAGCCAACCTTTATAGCAAAACTCATAGCTTCCCCTCAACTAGGGCATAAGGTGTTCCCTCTATCATACGGGTAGAAAATATAGTCCTCTATTTTCATACTCGAACTTTGCGAAATTTTTTTTTCTTAGCTTACTCTACCCAATCAAGTGTGATATTTTTACCCGACTTCTGGTCAAATTAATCAGGTAGGAAATCGGTGAACACTTTTATAGTTATTAATTCTTGAATCATTTTAACAATTCAATTAAATAACATGCACTAATTTAATAACACAATAAACCAATAGCATTAAAATTTAAAAAATTACAATAAAATACAAGAAAATATAAATATCAATCCATCATAATTGTTGCACAGATAAAATAACAATTATTTTAAGTTTAAACCATATAGTTAGGGAATTAGGGTTTTAGTTTATATATATATATATAAATTAATGCTGATAGGGTAGGATAGAAATATAAAAATTAATAGCTATTCCGTATTCCTACCGATTTTTTCGGCTAACTATTCAATTGGATCGAGTAGGGTAGAAAATTGCGACTAATCAAAAATTTGAACACCCCACCATCTCCTAGCCCCCCCCTACATTCATTTCATCTCCTCTTCTACGTAGTTTAACAAAGTCACAACCTTTCCAACTTGTGCAACTCTATATGCAAAACCCACAAAGAAGAATGAATCAAACACTTAACTCACCACTAACTCTAGATCTGAAAACTCCAAGTCTTCAATCATTGCTCAAGCAAGGAATTAGATCTAGGATATGATCATAGATCTGTTGTGTGTAGGTGGTGATTTAATTTCAGATCTACAATAAAATCTAATGTGCAAAATCAAATCTGCGATGGGTTTCAGATTCGGAGAGGTGGTGGTATCGATTCTGGGTGGGTCTCTTTGGCATCGGAGGTGTTGCTTGTTGGATTTGCTACTGCGTTTGAATTTCTAGCGGTGTTGGTAGTGGATATTGGTAACAGTGGGGAAGAGCAGGGTGATGGGGGGTTGGTGCTGCATGACTAGGTGTTGGGGGTTCTCATAGAGAGAGAGAGACTTGGGTAATGGTTTTGATTTTTTAATTTTTAATTAATTAAATGTAGGGTAAGATAGTCTTAATATTGTTAACGACGTTTATCTATTGGGGTTTCAGTGTAGTTTTTGAAATGTGAGGGGATATCCACGTAATAAAGTCAAATGCCATGAGGTCCGAGTATAATTTACCCTTACCTTTTCTTTATGACCGAAGGAATTATAGTCTTACTTTTCGAGACTGAATTATTATTAAAATAATAGAATAAATCAGGTTAAAAAATAACAGATTTGAGATGTATCAAAGGCAAACAGGGAGAGAGCCATGTGATACTTCCTTCTCAGATACCACGTTAAACAACTATGTTGTTACAAAAGTTAAATTATTAAAAATGATGTAATTTAAATCTATATAATAAAAAATGAGTGTGTTTGAATTTTATTCCAGTCATATTTTATCCCTCAAAATTATCATCAATCACTTATATCACCCATCATTTCTTTGTCAGACTCAAACGTCAAATCGCATTACTTATTTCTATTATATGTTTAATCATTTATATATTTATTCCCTAAAAATATTGTATCACACATTTTTATCATCTATTTAATTATTTAATATTTGATTAATTTGTAGTTAATATATTTTAAAAAAAATTAATATAATGGGATCGATTTTTTGGACACTTAAATTTTATATTTTATCGTATCTTCAGGCACGGGTTATGACTAGTACTTATATATTTTAACATTGTGATTTGATGTGATTTACCTTATCCAAAGGTGTGTATGTCAAATAAGATTAAAGAACACGTTGAATCCATCCGATCAATGTTGGGTTCCATGGATGATGGAGAGATAAGCATATCGGCTTATGACACAGCATGGGTTGGTCTTGTTGAAGATATTAATGGAAGTGGTGTTCCTCAATTCCCGAGCACCCTTCAATGGATTGCAAATAATCAGCTTCCCGATAATCACCCTTCAATGACCTTTTCAGCTTACGATCGGATTATCAGCACATTAGCTTGTGTAGTTGCATTGAAGAAGTGGAAAATTCATCCTCAGCAATCAGAAAAGGGTGAGCTTTTTTTACTATGTTTTTTTAATATAAAGAACAACTTTGTCAAATAAAATATGTTTGATTGCGAATTTACAAAGTGATCTAGATTCATTTTTTGCATACAAATCCTATACTTATATGCGGATATTGTCATTAAAGGATTGTCATTTCTTAAAGAAAACATATGTAAGCTTGAAGTTGAAAAGGCTAAGCACATGCCAATCGGGTTTGAAGTGGCATTCCCTTCGCTTATCGATATAGCTCGAAACTTCGGCATAAGAGTTCCAGATGATTCTCCGGTCTTTCGAGAAATCTATGCCAGGAGAAATCTCAAGCTCACAAGGTAGTTTCATAGATCAAACTACAGTCATTATATATTATGTTAGTGCTTCTAGGAATATTCATAAACAAGCTGGTAACTCGTCCATTTGTCAAGTTAATGCTTTTGCTTCAAGATAAATATACTTATGTTACACTTTTCTTTAAGAACTTATGCTTTTAAAGTAGATGATTGTTGAATTTGTACAAGAAAAAATTTTACATCTAGGTTATAATTAATTATGTGTGTACGATAGGATACCGAAGGAGATATTGCACGCCGTGCCCACGACACTACTTTATAGCTTGGAAGGAATGCCAAATTTGGAATGGGAAAAGCTGCTACGATTACAGTGCCTAGATGGGTCCTTCTTGTTTTCTCCAGCCTCCACTGCTACTGCACTCATGGAGACTAAAGATGATAAGTGCCTGAGATATATAAGCAAAGCTGTTGAAAAATTCAATGGGGGAGGTAACCTCTTTTTTTTTTTAGTCCTTCCATAAGTAGCAGGTTACTTCCACTTTTTGATGTTGTTTATGGTTTCTAATATTGTATAACTATAATTATTCAGTTCCAGGTGTTTATCCGGTAGACTTATTTGAGCACAATTGAGCCGTTGATAGGCTACAACGCCTTGGAATTTCCCGGTATTTTCGTCAGAAATTAGAGAATGTATGAATTATGTCTATAGGTAATACGAATTATCAACCTAAACCATATATTTTTCATTACAAAGCGGTATGACATACACAATATTATCCTAACAGAAGTCCAAAAACTTCAGTGGCGAGTTCTGCTGGTACATTGGACAATCCAACCAGGCTGTTAGTGGGATGTTTAACCTTTTTAGGGCCTCCCAGTTGTTATTTCCAGGAAAGAAGATACTCGAGGATGCCAAGAACTTTTCATCCCAATTCCTAAGGGAAAAACAGGCTAATGATGAGCTGATAGATAAGTGGATTATAACTAAGGACTTACCTGGCGAGGTACATAGAATCGTTGCTGTTTTTTTTTGAATGTATAATTTTGTTAGCAGTAGGACGACTTTTGAATGCGTACAGACCAGTCACTAGTAGAATGCTTTTAATCTATCATCATTACAACTGGTCTGAACTGTTGGCCTAATATTAGGCTTGAAGCTTGATTAATTAAAGAAACAAACAAGGTCTGAACTGTTGGCCTAATATTAGGCTTGAAGCTTAATTAATTAAATAAACAACAAGGTCTGAACTGTTGGCCTTATATTAAGCTTGAACCTTGATTAATTAAAGTAATAAACAAAGAATAAATAAGAATGAGAAGTTCTGCAACTAGATTTTTCATTCCATATCTTTTAGAAAAGTCTCTTACAAACTTTATATAAACACTCTATATATTTTAGAAAAATTTCTAACAAGCTTTATCTAGACACACCTAAATAGAGACACTTCATATATTCTAGAAAACACACCTAAATAATTCTAGAGTTTTCTATCTTTGAGCCTAATTAAATACAACAAAACATGACCCAAACTCACACTAACATTTTATGACCCAATTTAAAACATAATATTTTTTCGCCCAAATACAAAAAAACAACAAATTAGTAATTTTAACACTCCTCCTTAATGCTTTGTTGAGTGGCACCCAACATTTTTTGAAAGTATTGAAACTTATCCTTCGAAAGTGCTTTGGTGAAGATGTCCACCACTTGATCTTCCATCTTGCAATACTCGAGTTGAATCTCATCATCCTCCACAGCCTCCCGGATAAAGTGGTGTTTGATTGCAATGTGCTTGATTCGGCTATGGTAGACGGGATTCTTTGTCATTGCTATCGCAGACTTGTTATCACACAAAAGTGGAGTAGGCTCTCCTTGCTTCTCACCAACATCTTTCAAAATTCTCCTTAACTATATTGCCTTGTGATGTCACCAATGATGCCGAAACATATTCGACCTCGGCGAATGATTATGCTATCATTTATTGCTTCTTAGATGTCCATGAAAAGACACCCGAGCCAAGAAAAAATACATAATCGGAAGTGATCTTCATATTATCCACACATTCGGCCCAATCATTATCGCAAAATCCATTCAACTTTGCATCCACATTTTTCTCAAACAAAATCCCATAATCAAGGTACTTTGGATGTATCTTAAAACTCTTTTTACTGATCTAAAATGAGTTTGACTTGGATTATGCATAAACCAAGATAATAAACTTGTAGCAAACATCATGTCTGGCCGTGTAGCCGTCAAATATAACAAACTTCTAACCAAACTTCTATAAAGAGAAGCATCAACAACTTTATTTCTATCTTCCTTTGTCAACAATGGGGTTATAATCCACCGTCAACGCTTTTTTTCCCAATTCTTTCATTAGCTATATTGTTCCCATGTATTTTTATTTGGTTCACAACTTCCATCAATTTAGAAAAATAATCTTGCCACACTTCAGCATCTTTCATTTTCATATTTTTAAAATCTCTTCTCAAAGATTAAAATTTAATTGCTCTTAAATTCAAGTTGTCCCGATACTTCTTTTGAAGAATATCTCAAGCATCTTTTTCCTTAGTCTCGTTGATGATCCTCGGAAAAATCTTATCCGAAACTTATTGTTGAATCATTGAGAAAGCTCTTGCATTCTTCCTCTTATGTGTTTTCAATATTTGCTTTTAAGCATCCATCAAAGAATCTACATCTTCGGAGTCATCATACTCATCTTCAACATATTCCCACAAATTATTTGAAATAAGTTGGGTTTTCATTTTCACACACAAAAATCATAATTCTCATCGTCAAATTGTAAAAATGGAGGTAGTTGAGCTCCAAAATTTTGATTACTTGAACCCGCCATGTTTTTCAGCATCGAGATTTGTTTTTTCGAACCAAATCTTCACGCCCAATTGTTGTCATTGAACCGAGCTTAGATACCACTCTGTTGGCCTTATATTAGGTTGAACCCTAATTAATTAAAGAAATAAACAAGAGACCAACAAGGAATACATGAAAAATTTTAGAACTAGATTTTTCATTTCATATCTTCTGAAAAAGTCTCTTACAAACTTTATATAAACACTTCATATATTTTAGAAAAATCTCTAACAAGCTTTATCTAGACACTCCTACAAGATTATCTAGACACTCCTACAAGATTTATCTAGACACACCTATATAATTCTAGAGTTATCTATCTTTGGGCCTAATTAAATACAACAAAACATGATCCAAACTCACTAACATTTTTTGACCTAATTACAAACATAATATTTTTTATCCCAAATACGAAATATTAACTTTAACATGAATAGTGAACATTATTTAGAAGCTGCCAATTGAACAGGTGGAGTATGCACTAGACGTTCCATGGTACGCCAGCTTACTTCGTCTGGAGACAAGGTTCTACTTAGAACAATATGGCGGTAAAGACGACGTATGGATCGGCAAAACCTTGTACAGGTACTTTATATAATTCTCTCTCTCTTGTTTTTTTTGTGGGTAAGTCACCCTCTCTTGTTCTTACTTGATCTTTTATTGCAACTCCGCTGGTTAATTTCCATGTAATTCCAGGATATTCTAGAATATTACATCGAAATTTATGTATACTTTGGGGACCAAATAGACGCTAAATACATACTTGGGGGGCCAAAAGTGAATTGTACTCAATTTTTTAGAGCTTTTCTATGTATTTGACGTCTGTGCATATTTTCTACTTATGCTGGGTATATTTTTAAAACAGTTGAACATCTAGGCTTGCTGGTCTAGTGGTAGCCCTACGAACAAGTAAACCTAATCACCACTCCCATCCAACCCCCGGGGCGGGGAGGCCAAGGAGGGGGAAGTTGTTCTTGGAGTGACCGAACAGAATTGAATGTGTTTTCCTCTCGACATACATACTAATATGTGCTGTTTATCCACCGTATACCCTCAAGGATGCACTACGTCAACAATAACATCTATCTTGAGCTTGCAAAATTGGACTACAATAAGTGCCAAGCCCTGCATCATCTGGAATGGAACAACATTCGAAAGTAAGTTGCCGAATTTCCTTCTTAGTCACATACACTCTATATCCATTATAATCGGATTGTTTTGTGCTATCCTGTACAGATGGTATGGAGATTCCAATCTTGGACAGTTTGGGATAAGCCAAAGAAGTCTTCTCTTTGCATATTTTTTGGCCACGGCAAGTGTATTTGAACCAGAAGGCGCCAATGTGCGGCTTGCTTGGGCTAAGACCAATACTATGATTGCTCCAATCAAGTCATACTTGGACAGGGAGCGCACCTCCAAGGAGCAGAGGATAGCCTTCTTTCATGATTTTAGAAACAGTAGTAGTAGCCTGGGCTATGTACATAATAGAAGGTAACATTTATCTTAACAAAACGTTGTTTACTAGTTTAATCTATAAATAATCAGTGCAGATTCTCACTAGCCAATTTGAATATAATTTTTCTTTCAGTATCGTTCTCTCCACATCAGCTCGGAAAGGTTGTTCATCAATTCACTGAATATATCACATCAACTGCACTATTTCTTTTTGTCTACATTAAAGATTCTACCAATGAGAATAACTCAATTACGTTCTATAAATGGAGCACTAAATTATGCAGCATTTTTACATGTGTTTGAGTAAACTAGAGATTGATCTTCCAAGTGCTTACATTTTAACATGTCATTCATTTCCTAAGTGCTAACATTACTCCAACTTGATTGATCTTCTCAAAAGATAAGTAATGTACCTGTGCACTTGTACAAGGGAATATTTGATTTCATTTTAATTTTAATTTCTCAGGAACCAAACAGGGATTGGCTCGTCCAGACTCTGCTAGCAACTTTACACCAGTTCTCATTGGACGCACTGATGGCTCACGGGAGAGACATTCACCACCAATTGCTACAGGCTGAGTGCTTCTCTTTGACATGAATCAGCTCTAGTCTACCACCCATTTGTACTAATTGCCATTATTCTGATTCCAATGTGTTTCTTCTTTTCCCTTACTGGTTGGTATAGTGGGAAATGTGGTTGATGAAGTGGCAAGACGAAGGTGTAGAACAAGGAGAAGCAGAACTCCTTGTGAGCACCATAAATCTCTGCGCCGGCCATAGGGTCTCTGAAGAGATAATGTCCCATGCTGAGTACCAGTGTCTCTCTGAGATCACCAACAAAGTATGCTACCAACTCCGTGAATATCAAGACAGAAAGGTTGGTGATCTCATCTTTTGCATTTCGCTGCATGCACCAAAAGGTTACAATTATCTTCCGCGGACACTGTTGTGTGGAACCTAGCCAAATTCTTAAGGGCTCATGACTCGCAATAACTTGAGACTTCCCTTCGAATGTTAGTGATATGATGAAGTCTGTTGTGATCGTTAGATTGTGTTAGGCCAAACTTCACTCTTGAAAGTTTGGGCCAACTTTAGACAATTTGAACTCGAGATACCTAATAGTTTCTAGAGCCTGTTTTCTAAATAAAAGGGCCAGTCATGCCAAAATCCAACAGAATATAATCAATTCCAACCATGCAGTTTCCCTTTAATTCTCATTACTTTCCCCAATTTATTGGAAAGTCTCTAATTTTTAATTTACAACCATTTTAATCTGTCTAGTATGATTGGATACAAATTATAACAGCTGCAACCCGAACACTAGTAGCATGACAACCATCCAAATAGAATCGGGCATGCAAAAATTGGTGCAACTAGTGCTCTGCAACTCATCAGACACTGGCCTCGATCCTGATATCAAGCAAACATTTCTTACAATAGCAAAGACTTTCTACTATGCTGCATTTTTTAATCCGACAACCATCAATTTTCACATTTCCAAAATACTGTTTGAGAGAGTACTTTGATTCTTGTAATACTCTTGTCATGTTGGCATAATGTTTTTAGCATTTAAAGTAAACTTGATTTTGATAACATTTTTTATGCCCAATGGATAGTGTTATTGATGGTACACAGCCATTAGAGATTTAGTTTAGTATCTTCAGTTAGCTTCAGCTTGAATCGAGTCTCTCTCTTGGCTCAGGCTCAGTTGTTGAACCAACAGCTCTTGCCACTAAACAGGTTTTTCAAACATTTGGAGGACTTACCATCGTTGGAAGAATTGGCAAGATCGGATATGACTTACCACCTTTTGCTTTGATATTGTGTATTGTGTGTCTTACTTTAAACTACACTGGCCGGACCTAGTGATTAAGCCCATGAAATCCGGTTGCCGGGAGCTTCGGCAACATGAGAATAGTCATACCTGCGAGCCAAAAAAGTCATGTAAAATGGCATATGGAACTGCACTTTTCTTCCAGCTGTTTTTCGCCGTCTGAATCCCATTGGTGGATTTCTTTCGTAAGTTTGGGCTGTTATGATAACACTCCATCAGAGTTCCACAAAACTTCTGTTGTTTTAAAAAAAAAAATTCATTTTTCTCTTCTTACAATATGAAAAATAGTTCTAAAACACATCATTTTTGTACCATTTAAGTATATACTTGTAATGAACCTAACCTTTGATCCAAAAGTCATAGAATTTGTGAAGAATTAAGGCTTATAACTATTTGAACGGAACATTCTATCACGTTTAAAATTAAAATTCACACCAACTTACTCTATCAACATTAGGCCAACAATAATCCTTTTTTTTTTGGTAGTTTCACTCATCTACCAACTCGTATAAATATTAGTCTTTCATTATGTAGTGTAAATTCAACTATTGCTCTAAAAACTACATAATTTATTGGAGTTAAAAATCATAACACGTATAAATACATTATACAAAACTTAGTTCTATGAGATAATCCAAATTTATTGATGTGAATCGGAGAAGATCGTCGCATCAAAATCTTTGAATCGTCGTCATCTTCCTCTCTCCCTCTCCCCGATTGTCTCTCCGTGGGTCGATTGTGTAGGGCCAATCTGGAAAAAGAAACCCTAAAAGCGTGTGAACAGAATTGACCCGATCGGTCCACGTGACCCGTCCTTTTTTGGACCGACTCTTTTGGCCCGGTTATAAATCCGGTTTGTAAGTCGTGGGTGTGGAACCAGGTTATGAATTGACCAAACTACCCCCACCGTGATTTTCAATTCGACAATATTATCTTCATCTTCTTCAATATTGAGCCTATAAATTGGACAGCAAGACCCGACCAGAGAAACCCTAGAACGGATCAATTATCAATGGACATCCTGAAACAAGAGTTGCTGAAGAAGCGACAGAGCCTAGCCGAAGAGGTGGGTGGCAAGAAGTTCTTCAAGCGCTCTGAGATCGAACAGAAACGCCTCCAAAGGCTCCGAGAAGAAGAAAAGCGCGAGGCAGAGGCCAAAGCCCTCCGTCAAAAACAACAAAGCCATCAAAACGGCTCCACCCCTAATTCTTCCTCAGATCCTAACTCCAAACCTGAAATCCTGAAATCTAAGCCCGAATCCTCCAATTTTTCTTCCAAACCCCTCACCGCCGAACAAAAAATCGACGAACTCAACCTCCCCAAACAAGAAGTCATCCGTCGCCTCCGATTTCTCAAACAACCGGTCACATTATTCGGCGAAGACGACGAAGCGAGACTCGATCGGTTGAAATATGTGTTAAAAGCGGGATTGTTTGAATTGGATGATAGTGATATGACTGAAGGGCAGACAAACGATTTCTTACGGGATATAGTAGAATTGAAGAAGAGGCAGAAGACGGGGATTTTGAGTGATAGGAAGAGGAAGACGACGGAAGATGGAGAGGATAAGGATGGAGGGGGAGGGGATGAGGATTTGAGTGGGGATGGGGCATCGTCAGGGGTGGATCATGACAAGGATTTGAAACGTATGAAGGCGAATTTTGAGGATTTGTGTGATGAGGATAAGATTTTAGTGTTTTTTAAGAAGTTGTTGACTGAGTGGAATCAAGAGCTGGATGAGATGACCGATGCGGAGAAGAGGACGGCCAAAGGGAAGTCCATGGTTGCGACGTTTAAACAGTGCGCACGGTACTTGAATCCGCTTTTCAAGTTCTGCAGGAAGAAGGTGAGTGCTGTAGTTTGATTAGTTTCATTGCTTTCTTTTTTTGTTATATTGTGTTTTCTTTTTTCCCCCAGTTTTGAGTACATGAATCTTGCATGAAGTGAAGAAATAGTGCTGTGAATTTGTTCAGGATTTCGGCTTTTTGTTTTGGTTTTAGTGAATTATGCTTATATAATTTGATTTTGAACATTTTTTTCATGGTTATCTAGAACCTATTGCTTCTCTCTTGATCATAATATGGTGCTGCTTGCCTTTGCTGATCCCTAGAAAATTTTGATTGCATTGATCAGAAGTAAATTGTTATCAAAATTTGCTGAGATCTTTATAATGAAAGAAAAAATTGAACAATATCCCCGGGGCCATGTCTCATATTGGACTGTCAATTGTTAGCTCGTCGAGAAGTGTAATGAGAAAATTTGGATTTCTATTGTCCTTCGTTTAAAGCAAGTTTCTTGTGCGATCTGTACTGCATGGGTAGTCCAGGACTCCAGGCTTGATGTCTAAAAATTAAGTAAAAGTCCTGTTAGATTTTTTCTTAGGTGGCATCTGAACTCCATCTGAGAGGTGGAGATATTTACAGAGGATCCTTAGAAGCACTTCCTCTTTAGATCTAATTGTCACTAGAAGCTACGGAAAATTGGCTTCTGCGACTCTGCAAGTTCTTTTCCATGCATACACCTTTTTGGTTTCTCTTTTCCATGGATAAACCAAGCGAGTTGTTCCGCTGGAGATGGGTAGGAATGCATTCAGTGTCCCTCCAATGGAAAAGTTGGTTTGGATTAGGGATAATCATAATGAGTTGTTGGGATATTCGCGGTCAACTTTGGGATATTACGCAGTCAGTTGATGGCACCAGAACCTTTCCTTAGAACTTTCATTATGATTTACTGAATTTTTATTTTGCTAAATTTTCTCCTAAAGGAAGCCACAATAATCTGTTTGCAGTTAGAAGCATGTGGTCAAATTATCAATTTTTAGGTGCAAAATGTCTCAAAGATGTAACTGTAAAACTTGTGACAGTGAACATGTTCTAGACCTACAGCTGAAAGTCGTGCATAAGTGAAAGTTGGTGGATAACGCTGTTAGGCCATTGCAATTGTTGTAGAGAAATAATCCTTTCTTGGGTAGACAAACTAATCATAGATGGCATATGGAGGTCTTTTAGCCATAGCTTTTGGAAGAAGGCTTTGGAGCAATCAAAGTCAATTGACTATTTATGTGTTCAAGCTTTGAAACTCTAGATTAATCTTCAGTCCTCCAATTTTGGGATAGATTGGTAGTACACCCTTATAGGCAATTTTTTTTTTTTGAAATTTGGGTGCGTGTGATAATGTGTGAAGTCTCACGAAATTGTAGGATAAACAATTGATTGCAAAGGAAGAAATAACCCACTCCTGTTTAAAAGAATTAAATTACAACCGTCTCGATAAGGGTACATTTACTTGTGTTCTAATGGTTCACGTTAATTTCGTTTGTTATATCCATGTGCTGGTGATGAAGTGATGATATGATTGTGTTAAAATTCAAGAGGTTGCAATATGTGTGTGTGTGTGCAGCTTACGAGATTATACTATGTACATGGCGCATGGTAGATTATACATAGGGATTTGGTTTGAAAATGCCAACATAAGCATTATGATGTGTAGCTCAGTTGATTGATTTGTGATTCTTTAAGGTGGTAGACAATGTTCTTTTTTATTTAAATTCTTTACATTTAAATCAATTTGAGCAACTGTTTTTTAAAGCATTCTAGGGTTATTTTATTCATTATGCAAAACATCTTATTCAACAGATATTTGTTGGTTTTATTTTGGCACTTCCTTGCTGAATTGGCAGCTTGGTGCATTCAAATTTTGTAGTTTTTGTTTCACTTTTAATATAGCTGTGATGGGAGATGTGCAGAGTAGACATGTTGATAAGGATCTTACAGCAGCTTTTGCATTATAAATTAGCAAGCTAAGTTTGGTTATTGATTTCATGTAACATTAAGTTGTACCATGATTTAAATTCCCTTGTAAATGATGGGATTCATACAATTAATGAACCTGGCTTCACATGCCATGGATCTAATCCAATCTTGACCGATAGAGAGGACAGAAACTACCATTGGATATAGCATTGTTCTGCAGAACAGCCTCTTGGACCCTCCATCAAATGCATTGTGATTGTGGAATAATTACTAACTAGAGTGTATGATATATGTAATATATTTGATTTTATAGGTTCTTCCAGATGATATTCGGCAAGCATTACTCTTGGTTGTTGAATGTTGCATGAAGCGAGACTATCTAGCTGCAATGGATCACTATATCAGAATGGCCATTGGAAATGCACCCTGGCCTATTGGTGTTACTATGGTTGGTATCCATGAACGTTCTGCTCGTGAAAAGATCTACACAAACAGTGTGGCCCATGTTATGAATGACGAGACAACTCGCAAATATCTGCAATCGGTCAAAAGATTGATGACATTCTGCCAACGACGCTACCCAACAATGCCTTCCAAAGCTGTTGAGTTCAACAGTTTGGCAAATGGTAGCGACTTGCAGTCATTGTTGGCTGAAGAGAGATATTCCGAGGGAAATCAATCCTCAGAGGAAGTGCTTCGATTAATGCCTGCTCCAAGGGACATGTAGTTATCATATATGAACTGATGTATCATGGAGGGTACATAGTATAAAAGGTTGTTCCAAGGTGACTGTCATGTTTATCTTTCCTGTTATAAGTTCACTGCGTAACAGTTGCTTGCACCGGAAGGTGCAAAATGGGATGTCCAGTGACCAGAAAGTGCATGTTTTGTGATACTTGTAGACTCTTAATAGTATCTATCATTTCATGCTTTGGCCACGTTTAATACCGCAACAAGTTGTTTTCAAGACACTAGGGTTCGGGGAATCTCTTTTAAGTAGCATAGTTGGTGTCCATAATACAAAGTTTTTACAAAGAATTTTTTTTTTTAGTTAGTGAAAGCAAATGTTTACCTTCTACACTCATCTTGACTGAAAAAAGCCAAAAGAGAGGTGCCTATTGGATTTTTTTTTTTGGGGCATTGTTGCTTTTATTCTTAAAAGTTTCTAAGCATTCCGTATTCAATAAGAGACAAGGTTATTGAATAATGAGTTTTCTAACTTATATGTCAAATTATCATCTTTTCTATAAAAGTGTGGTTTAAATTTACGTATATTCTATAAAAAAAAATAGGAATCAGTTTTTCCCTCTTCAAATATTATTTTCTATAAAAGGATTTGTTTCCCTCAATTCTATTCTTCCATGTGTTATATGTAACTATTTTTAACCTTTTTTTATATCTACTTTAAATTTGAATTTTTTTACCATTCTTATTAATTACTTCAAAATAAATTTTTTTCAAAACATCAATTTAGCGCATTAATATATTATTTTCTAACAATGTTGCTATGGGGGTGAGGGTTGGGATAGTGGTAGGAGTGGGAATATCAATAACGGTGAAGAGATATTACAAATGTCGTTTATGGTGACAAGCAGCCACAATTATTTTTCTCTATAAAAGCATTTTTGCACTCACATAGATTTGGCCACCTTGACCCAAACCATCACTACCTTCACCTAAGTCACCACTTATGAATGTTCAATATATCGACATTTGGTAGTTTGAATCTGTTAAGAAGATGTCTCATGGTAAAAACTGAAGAAAGAAAAGAGATAATCAATCACAATTATATTTAAAAAAGAAATAACTAACTAGTGTTATTATTCAATAACCATCCATGAAAGCAAAATCGTCGAATACAATGACTATAAAAGGACATGTATTGGAGAAGATGAATGATACATTTAAATCCTCATAAAACCCACAATCTAAACTTTTTTAGGGATAATTTTAATTTAGTCTTAGAAAGTAATTATTGTTGCGTTCAAAGCAGTTAATCAACCTTTTATATAACCAAAATCCTTTCAATTGACATACTAAAGAAATCCTATTTTATTAGTTTTCTTACATTGTGTGTTTATCCATTAAATTTAATCAATGAAATCTTGAAACCCTCACAAATAATTATCTGAAAATTGTGATAACAACAGATTTTTGGAGCAACAACATTACATAAATAATGTTAGGTTATTCAATAAATATTTCAACAGTGAATAGAAAAATATGTAAGATCTTTGTTTCTGTTAGCTCAATTAGTGAACAAACACTAAGAGAGGGGGTGTCAAAAAAATTTTAGATAATACAGAAAATGTCGTTAAAGATAGATATATTTATGGGGGGCGGGTGGATGAAGTGTTACCAACTATATTCGTTAAACAAAAATAGAGGACAAAAACAGAGGAGACTAGACAGGCCTAATAAGTCCATGGGTCTCTCTTTGCTTAGGCGGTTCGGAGCGAAACATCCACTATATAATTGGCAGTTCAATTCGGTGAAAGGCAATTGTTGGACTACCGTTTACTATCATGTCAAGCACCACCAGCAACCACCAGGCACCACCGCAGTACCGCCCTTACAGACTCAAAAAAATCATCACAGCCCACCAACGCGCCGTGTCTTGCGTGAGATTCTCAAACAACGGAGAGCTCTTCGCCTCCGCCTCCCTCGATAAAACCCTAATCGTCTTTTCCACTGAAACCCTCTCCCAAATCTCCCATCTAATCGGGCACTACGAGGGCGTCTCCGACCTTTCATGGTCCTCCGATTCCCACTACATCTGCTCCGCATCCGACGACCGCACTCTTCGCATCTGGGACGCACGCGCCGGTGAGTGCGTCAAAACCCTTCGCGGACACACCGACTTTGTGTTCTGCGTCAATTTCAACCCACAGTCCAATCTGATCGTTTCGGGCTCGTTTGATGAGACTGTTCGTGTTTGGGATGTTAAAACGGGCCGGTCCGTGCATGTCATTCGGGCCCACTCTATGCCGGTGACTTCTGTGCATTTCAATCGAGATGGTTCGTTGATTGTGTCCACTAGCCATGATGGGTCTTGCAAGATTTGGGACACAGCTACCGGAGCGTGCTTGAAGACCCTCATCGACGATAAAGCTCTGGTGGTGTCGTTTGCCAAATTCTCACCCAACGGGAAGTTCATACTTGCAGCAACTCTGGATGATACCCTCGTGAGTTCTGTTAATTCTTTGCTTTGTACTGAGTTTAGAATTATACTTTAATTGGATTATTTCTTTGGGTTTGTGCGCAGAAACTGTGGAATTACTCGGCTGGGAAGTTCAACAAGATTTATACGGGTCATGTGAACAGAGTATACTGCATAATGCCAACATTTTCAGTGACGAATGGGAAATATATTGTCAGTGGATCGGAGGATAAATGTATATACTTATGGGATCTACAGGGGAAAAATATGGTTCAGAGGCTTGAAGGACACACTGATGTTGTCATCTCTGTGACATGCCACCCCACCCAGAACATCATTGTTTCTGCGGGGCTTGATGGTGATAAAACAGTGAGAGTCTGGGTTCAAGATTGACAAGCAATGATGCATTGGTTAGTGTCTTGTGTTTAAATTCTCGTCTAGATACCTCAGATTTATAGCATACTCACCTTTGCCTCATGACATATATTGAGATTCTGCTAAACATGCATAACCTAGATTCAAATTATGAGCAATACCTTAGAAACAAAGGAATTTCCTTTTTGATGATCATGCTATTTGGACATACCTGACATTGTATCCTGTTTTGCCTGTATTTGTATAATTTGAATGTGATTTGTTTGTATGTTGTCTCCTATGTGGCAAAATTATTTTGCTTTCTTCAAAGTAATTGTCTGAAGAGACGGCATAGATTTAGCAGTTGCCTCAAAGATCAAATAGATTGAGTTGAGAAAAAGGTGTCTGATTGGTATCCTCATCTCAGGAGCTCTAATAATTACTTAAAAGAGATTCAGTGAAAAGGATGTATGTGTGTGTTGGGAAGACACATGTTTCATGAAGTTGGCCCAACTCATTGTGCATCAAGGTGGCTTAACTTGGAATCCAAAGCATAAACGTGTAATGCCACACTTTTTAACTTATTGGGTTTCGACAGCCTCTTGTACCAATTTTTTATCTGATAGGTTTTAAGAACCAGGAAGTTCTCTGTGAGATGACTTCTCTAAGAGATTGGTGTGTCAACTTTACAAATTGCTCTCTGATTCCCACCCATTTTGGATGCCTGCTGGTTCCTGTTGACAAGCAAACCAATTGGGAATCTAAGAAGAATATACACAAAGAGAGAGTTGCAGAGGCGTGAGATAGCTTCTGAATTCTATTGAAAACGTGGTTAACAAAACACGAAATCAAACATGAAATAAGTAATAAAGTTGCTCTTAATGCTGATTATATTGCCAGCAACATGCAAGGGTAATACAAGAGTCAAAGTACTCTATCAAGGAGTATTTTGGCAATGTGAAAATGATGGTTTCTAGGTTGCAGTAGGCAGTATAGTAGAAAGTCTTTTGCTACTGTAAGGAATGTTTGCTTGATATCAGGATTGAGACCAGCGTCTGATGAGTTGCAGAGCACTAGTTGCACTAGTTGTTGCGTGTCCGATTCAATCAGGACGGTTGTCATGCTGCTAGAGTTTGGGTTGCAGCTGCCTGTAACCTGTATTCAATTAAATTAGGCAAACTATAATTGTTGCAAGGTGAAAGATAATTGAAAGAAGGTCACTAAAAGGCTTAGTTGGCCAAACCTGATTTCCTTGATCATAAGGAAAGCATAAAGTTTGTAAAGCTTATGGTCAAACTTAACAGGTGAGGATTTTGGTTTATAGGTTATAGAGGCTTTCCCAGAAATTTTGGAAAGTAATGAGAACGAAAATAATACTGTCAATTGGAGATGACTACCCCCCCCCCCCCTTTTTCTTTTTCCCGTCTTCTTTCTCTATTCACTCTCTATTCTAATGATCCCAAAATAACAAGCCGACTTTGTTCAGAAGAACAAAACCCTTGTCCTCAAGAATTTGGTTTGATAAAACTTCCACAGAACATAATGATAACCTTTTGGTGCATGCAGCGAAATGTAAAAGAAATGGAATGTGTCCCAAAGTTGTACAAACCTTGCTGTCTTCATATTCACGAAGTTGGCGACATACTCTGTTGGTAATCTCCGAGAGACGATGGTACTCAGCATGGAACAATACCTATTCCGAGACCCCACAGCCAGCACAGAAATTTATGGTGCGCACAAGGAGTTCTGCTTCTTCTCGTTCTTCACCTTTGTCATGCCACTTCAGCAGCCACACTTCCCACTATACCAACACATAAGCAAGCAAAACAAACTCCTTGGAACCTGAATAAATGACTGTTAATTTATAGGGATGGGTGATAGACGGGAGTTGATTCATGTCCCCAAAAAAAAAAAAAAAAATTTACTCACAGCCTGATGCAATTGGTGGTGAATGTCTAGACAGTGCGCCATCTGTGCATCCAATGAGAACTGGCGCAAAGCTCGTACCAGAGTCTGGACGAGCCCTTGCCCTGTCTGGTTCATGCGAAAAAACAAAATCAGCCATTCCCTTGACATTACTTTTCTAGAGAGTGATACTTTATGGCAATCCGTATTTGGATCTGTGGTTCTACTCATAAACAGAACTTTTTTGATATGAGTGTTACCTTGCTCTCGTAGTGTTTCTGAAATCGTGAAAGAATGCTATCTTCTGCTCCCGGATGGTGTGCTCCCCGTTGAAATAGGATGTGATTGTGGCGACCAGAGTATTGGTCTTAGCCCAAGCAAGCCGCACATTGGTACATTCTGGTTCAAATACATTTGCTGCGGCCAAAAAATATGCATAAAGAAGGTTTCTTTGGCTCATTCCAAACCGTCCAAGATTGCATTGTTCATACCATCTGTTCAGGATAGCACGAAACAGTTGGATTATAATGGCGATTGAATAATATGACTACAAGAGGAAGAGGAGGAGGAGGTTGCAACAACTTACTTTTGAATGCGGTTCCATTCCAGATGATGCAGGGTTTGGCAATTATTGTAGTCCAATTTTGCAAGCTCAAGATATTTGTTATTGTTCAGGTGTGGCATTCTGTATGGGTATACATACGTACAGTGGATAAACAGCACAAATTAGCATCTAAATCAAGAGTAACACAACTTCAAAAAAACTTTTTTTTTTCTTTGTTATCCAGCGGTGGGTTAGTTTTGGGTGGGTGGGGCTTCGGATTGGGGATCATTCCAATTCCATACACCAACCAGAAAATCTCGTGAGGGCTTCCCCTCCTGATGCTGTAACACTAGACCGGCACCATCAGTGATTTTATTTTTTTTTGGATCTGATGAATTGGGCAAGAAAACTCATTGCGACATTATATCGAACAGTTCATCTCTTCTTCTTTGATATACTCCATAGACAAACCACTTTACAGGTAGAAAATTAATTGCAAGCAAAATTAGTTCGTTGCATTAGGGAAGCATATTAGAAGTTATTTCTTCTGTAACGAAACATGTTAAGATCAACAGAGAGCAAGGGCAAGAGCAAGAGAGAAGCATTTAAAATACACCAACCTGTACAAGATTTTGCCGATCCATACGTCGTCTTCACCGCCATATTGTTCTATGTAGAACCTTGTCTCCAGGCGAGGTAAGCTGGCGTACCACGGAACGTCTAGCGCATACCCCACCTGTTGAATTGATAACTTTCGTTGGTCAAAACTTTTAAAAAGCTAATCTTTAATTTGTATTTTGAAAGATCAATTGAATTTTAATTTATACTCTTAAAGTTTAAAAATATTAATTTATATCCTAAAAGATATAAATCGTATCAATGTGTACTTGAGATTAATTGTACTGTTAAAAAAGTTTAGACTAATTATAAATTGTACCCTTAAAGTTTAAATGTTTCATATTTATGATTTAAAAAAAAAAATTTCTATTAATATTTGTTAAATAACTCTCAGTTATATCGTGTCATAATATTTTCGTGTCATGTTCGAATTAATAAAAAAAGTATTTTTAAAATTTAAAAAATTATAAAATATCTTCTTTTTTTTTTTTTTTTTGCTTACATGAGATTAGTCCTAAATCAAAAGACAACTTAATTATCACTAAAAAGGACTTTTTATTACCTATAAATGTAATGATAAAATGATTTTTCACTTGAGAAAAGTACTTCCGAAAAAGGTTAACAAACGGGAGAAAAGTTAGTTAATCAACTGCTGCAAAAATGTAGTGTACCTCGCCAGATAAGTCCTTGGCTATAATCCATTTATCTAGGAGTCCATTGTTTTGCCTGTTTTTCTCTCAGAAACTTGGATGAAAACTTGTTGGCATCCTCAAGTATCTTCTCTCTTGGGAAGACAACTTGAGAAGCTCTGTGAAGGTTGAACATGGCGGTAACGGACTCGTTAGACTGTCCAGCATTACAGTAGAACTCGCCACCATTCTCAAAATACTGAAACACATCTGTCAATAACACATCCAGTGAAATCACAACTCTTCAATCGATGTAATTAAAAATATTATATAATTGTCCTCCTTTTTCGATATAATTTATCGATCTAATCCATCACAATACAATTATTGAATTGATCACAGTGATCTCCGATATTTATCTAAAAATTATAAATAATTAAGTCCAAATAGTTAGGATTGCTCTATAGTAAACTTACCTGCCGAAACCTTGTGGCCATGCAATCTTAAAAGCCTAAAACCCATGGCCGTGCAATCAATATCATGAACTCTTGAATTTCTAGCCCAACAGATTCCTTTTGCTGTCCAATATCTGCAAGATTTTGAACCTTCTTTAGGAAGAAAATTAAAGATATTGTTGGAAAGAAATATATTCTCAAAGGAGAAGGTTTTTTTTTTTTTTTTGGGTTTAACAGTCATAGATATCCAAGTCAGTTTACGTGCAATTCAACTAATCTCCTCCTTGATTTAGTCAAATGTTAGCCATCACGCTAAGATTAGGAAATGCATAGCGGATAAATCTCTCATGATTTGAACCTAAAAATTTGTCAAGATTCGAACTCAAGACATACCTCATGCCTCTCATGTTTATCATTTTTATCAGGACATAAACATATATATATAGCAATACACAAATATATATTGTGATGCTCTGGTATGGGAATGTATGCTATAAAACTGATTTTACCTGGAGACGTAATTCATACATTCCTTAATTTCTGACTGAAAAAACCGAGAAATTCCAAGGCGTTGTAGCCGATCAACAGCCCAAATGTGCTCAAATAAGTCCACCGGATAAACATTTGGAACTGAGTGATAAGCTCACACATATGTTAGTAACTGAAAACATTCAAAAATGAAAGTAAAACAGAATAAAAAAAATGTACTTTTACGTCCCCCATTGAATTTTTCGATAGTTTTGCTTAGATATCTAAGGCATTTCTCATCTTTAGTCTGCATGAGTGTAAAGGCAGCGGAGGATGGGGAAAACAAGAATGACCCATCTGGGTTCTGTAATTGTAGTATTTTTTCCCACTCCAGGTCTGGCAGTCCTTCCAAGCTATAAAGTAGTGTTGTGGGCACTGTGTGCATCATGTTCTTCGATATCCTATTGCACGAAAACGAATTTATAAATTGCATCACTTGTTCGATTTTATTCTATTTTTTTTACTTTAGTTCTCAGTTTACTCTCGCTAACATACAGGCGTGATCTAAATCTACATCTTTTACTGTGAAAGTGTTTCTCCAAAACATGCTTTCAATAGAAAATCTAGAAAACAAGTTATACAAATATAATTTTACATTGAAAGACGTAAATACCATGTTTTGATGCAGACAATAATAAAATGAGGAACAAGTTAAAAATCACAGGATAAATAAAAATTACAAACGAATTTTTGTCCAAAACTCTATATAACTTCACATAAATGCATGTCAAGCTTTATCTTGTAACCTATTTTTTCCAAAAAAAAAAAAAATGTTTGGAAGATCTTTTTTTTTTTTTTTAATCCAAGGTATAGGGTAAAGATACTAACCTTGTGAGCTTAAGATTTCTCTTGGCATATATTTCTTGCAAGACCGGATAATCATCAGGAAATTCAATGTCCAACTTTCGAGCTACTTCGATCAGTGAGGGGAATGCCACTTCCCTTGAAGGGTGGTTGGGAATTGAGGAACACCACTTCCCTTAATATCTTCAACCAGAGCAACCCATGCTGTGTCATAAGCCGATACGCTTATCTCCCCATCATCCATGGAAGCCAACATTGATCGGATCGAATCAACGTGTTCCTTGATATTATTTGGTGTAGACACCTTTGGATAAAGCAAATCATATCAAATTGTAATTCTATCGTTAAATCTAGTCTACTCTCTTCATTAGTTTAAGTTTTAATTGAGATATACGTACGTTTAAACTTTAACCTATAGTTCACTTTAATTTGAGGGAAAAAAAATTAACTGTAATTCATGCAGTCATATAAAAAAAAAAAAGCAAAAAGAGTTAACCGTTTTAAGAGATTTTCCTTCTATGTCATCCTCCACAAACCCATTCGGAATCACATCGATGTATTCTGCACATATAAACGGCCATCTGCCATTCTTTAGTCTAAATTTGTAATCTTGCCGACTAGCTTTTGCTCCACATGACCAAAAACCTAGAAAAGTTAATAATATATCTTAGGTACATTTGATTCCATCCATAAACTGGTGAGAAAATTTGAAAAACTCATATTTAAGTCCATTTGCAGGAAAAGCAGAGGTGTAACAATGCTTCGAAATGAAACAAAATAATTAGCAGGTAAAGATCACCTGCGAAAAGTTTAGAGGGTTGATTTGCCGGAGAACATGACACCGAGCCTCGGTTGGTTCCCGAGAATCTAAGGAGGAAGGTGGTGGTGCAATGAGAAGACATGTTCTTTGGTTTTTTTTACTTCTTTTGCTGTTAGCTGAGAAGATGGGTTCTTTGGTTTTTTTTTTCTTTTCCTTATTCTTTTGCTGAGAAAAGTTTAGAGGGTCGGTGAGAAATTTTTGCATGGTTATACAAATCACGTGGCACCCACGTGGTGTGTATGACACATGAACAGCTTGTCAGCTGCAAAGTCTACAATACACATTAGCTGGCACGCCCACTCGGTTGTGTTTATATTTATTGGTTGAAACATTTGAAAACAAACTAAAAACAAAACATATAAGAAATAAAACAAAAAATAAAATACAAATCTAAAACAAAAGCTTATCAAACGTCAGCTTAGAAAACTAATTGAAAGAAACAAAAAAACCTAACTTCCAAAACCCACCAGCTGCGGAATCATGCTGGATAAAGATCACTGTGTCTTCTTCCTGTAAACACCCATTAACTTGTTCACTATGTCTTCTCACCAGTAACAGTAGTCCCTGATGGAACTTGTTCATCACTCTAGTACTAATCCATGTTCTCATTTAGTTTTTTCCGGAGGAATGCCATTTTCATCAAGGCATGCACATATCAGAATCAAACAGCGGAGGCCTATCAATATTATTATTTGTTCCGATTATTCGAAAAGCAGTGAGAATATTCATTCTACTGATCAGCAGCGACGATCAGCTAACTATCATCCTAGCATTTGGAATCCGAAGCACATCCAGTCATTGTGCACACCATCTACAGTTAAGTCTGTCCACCACCTTTATTAATTTCCTGATATTTTGTTTATTGGAATCCAGTCAATGGGTTGTGCGGACTGGTTCTCATCAGAGTCCGATCGACCTATACATACATCGGATTAATCTGTCCAAAACTTCTGCTGAAGATAAATAAAAGAAAAGGAATCTTAATGGTGTTGCCTAGATTCTAGAAATCATGGACGGAACTGTGTAATGGCCGGGGGTGTTAATACACGAGAGCTACGCAGGTTCGGCTCGAATAAGACTTGATTCACATTCAAACTCGTGTTCTAAACAAATGGAACTAGAATAATTTTTGAGAATCGTTTAAAAAAATGAACCTTAAAAGCTCAGCTCAGTTATATATAAAATAGTCAAACTAATTTTAACTCGATTATTAAATAAGTCAAACTTAAACAATTTTTTAAATTCAGTTAAAAAAATGAACTCGACAAATTCAAGCTTCAGCTCGCAAAGTTCGGTTGAATTCTCACCCCTAGTAATGGACAATGGAGCCATGGCCCCCTCACATTTTTTAAAATTTCTGTAACCCTCCCGTAGATTTTCAAAAAATCCTATACTTTCCCTTGTTTGTTTTAAAAAATTGGGTTATAATATTTTTAGTTTCTAAAATATGTATTTTTTGTTAGCTTAGTCCTCATTATATCAATTTTATTAATTTGGTTCCTAATTATACAATTCGTAAAATTTTTTGAGGGAAATGACCACGTGTCATTTTTTTGGACGGTATCACGTGTTCAACATGTGATCATTCCGTTAAAAACTTAACAGTCCCTCTATGTAAGGATAAAAATGATATAAATTAAATATTTTAAAGAGCAAATTGATATAATGAGAACTAAACTGACAAAAAATATATATTTTAGGGACTAAAATTATTATAAACCCTAAAAATTTCAAGGCCTATTATAATTATTGTATTCAAAAACTTAATGGCTTGATATGTAATAATCAAATGATAGATCTAAACACATGAATGAGTGTTATTTTTACAAATAAAGAAATTTGATTGAAGAGTTTGATAAACAAAAAAAAAAAAGAGTAAGATTACTCTTAAATTGGATAACAAAAGTTACTTATATCAAAAGCAATGCATTGGCTCAACTCGTTTTTTCTATGATATTGTGTGAAATTATTAATTCTGATGATAATTTTTTCATAATCACTGCAGCACATTGAAAATAAGAGGACAAAGGGACAATGACAATGCCACAAATTATTTTTATGATAGTAAATAAGAATTAATTTTTAAATTATCTGACCCAAATTTATTTTTACGATAGTATTGTATATCCGTAGATTTTAATGTGTTGTATCCAACTAAAAATTTATGATTAGAATAACTTGTTTATTAATCCCCTTCGATAAAATTTTGACTATGTTATTATTTGGTTCCCTCGGTGTAAAATCCTGGTTCGGTCCTTGCTAGAATTGTAATTTGTCTCATATGATCAGTATCTCCTCATTTGATCTGGGGCTTCAACGGAGATAGAAAATAAAAGCTTCACTAATATTCACTGCTAGGAATAGGATATATACGATTTGCTGTGGCGATACTGCTAGTGATGCATATTAGTTTAGGGAAAACAGATTTAACATCGGAATGCTTGATTCAAATACTTAATGGGTTGGGATTAGGGATAATAAACGATTTGAGCTACTCAAGCTCGAGTTGAATTGGACTTGTTTTGAACTCGTTCATTTAGAAACAAGAACGAATCGAGTTCAACACTTTTTTAAGCTTGTTTTATCGCTCGGACTCAAACTCGTTCATTCGGCTCATTTACCACACTTAGTTGGGATGTATGTCTTCTTCTTTCAAAAATAAATTTTATTTGATTGCAGAAAAAATAAAGAAATTTGCCCTTTTACTTTTGATATTTCTTAGATTGAGTCACTACATGTGGTATTAGCTAAGGCTGACTTATCTTACATGCAGTATGAGCTCTATGGCACCACGTTGGAGGAGCTGAAGCAAAAAGCTAGAGGGTTACTTACCTCTGAAAAAGAACCTTGTGCTCAATTGAAGCTTATTGATTCAATGCAGCGACTGGGGGTGGCTTACCATTTTGAAGAAGAGATCCGAGATAGTCTTAATCAAGTTCGTGATGTAGTGATGGGTGATTTATACACAACTGCATTGCAATTTCGACTTATGAGAGAACATGGTCATCCAATTTGCTCAGGTAGCAGAAAAGTTATACTGTAAATAATAATGTGTCGCTAATGTTGAATCGTTCTAGTTACTTGCCATTTGGATTCATAATTGCAACATAAATTTCATATGCACACAATCATCTCTAAATCACGCGCATTGATTATACCAGAGTTTATGCAGGTGGTGGAACTAACATCCTTAAGACATGCCTCGTCCCAACCTATGTTGGTTTTATTAGAAATAAATGTTTCTTTCTGATATAGACAGCTTATTTGGTTGAATTTAATTTCAATATAACTTTGGGTGATGATACAAAATGATCAGGCGTGTTTGACAAATTCCAAGATGGGAATGGGAGATTCATGGACAGCTTAAGCAAGGATGTGACAGGTCTTTTGAGTTTGTATGAAGCTTCACACCTTGGAATGAACAGTGAAGATGATTTGGAAGAAGCCAAGAACTTCAGCATTAAACATCTAATGTCCTTAGCTGGAAAGTAATATGGCTGATCAGGTGAAACACTCACTGGAGACTTCTTTGCACTGGAGAATGCAAAGGTTAGAAGCACGGAACTTCATTGATCTCTATGCAGTTGACGATGAATGCAGCTTGATTTTGAGCAAGTTTGCCAAATTGGATTACAACCTAGTGCAATCCATATATCAGAAAGAATTAAAGGAACTTACAGTGTAAGTTTAACATTGACAAAAATATATCTTAATGAAGAACAAATTGAGATTTATGACAAGAATTAAGCGAACTTTTCTGTTTAGGTGGTGGAAGGACTCTGGATTTAAAGAAAACTTGAGCTTTGCCCGGGATCAATTAGTGGAATTTTATTTGTGTGCAGTGGGAATAATTTCTGAGCCCCATTTCTCCGAATCCTGGAAAGGCCTCACCAAGATGAGTTGCATAGTGCCGACGATCGATGACATGTATGATGTATATGGATCACTAGATGAGCTTCAATGCTTCACTGATGCAGTAGATCGGTATGATTATGTGAACATAACAACACACATTGTCCAAATTTGCTCTTTAGGTCTCGATAAGAATTCAACTGTGGTTTAATGGCTTGTTCGATCAGTTTATTCTATCAGATGGGACCTTGAGGCCATGGAAGACCTTCCTGAGTACATGAAGCTATGTTATTTGGCCATGTTCAATTTTGGAAATGAGATTGCCAGTGATGTTCTAAAAGATCATGGCCTGGATGTTCTTCCCTACATTAAGAAAGAGGTAAGCAAAAGGCTTATACGTTAAGATAGTACTTTTATGAGCTAATGCAATAAATACTGTAATTGCATATTCATTGCCTATCCTTGGTGCATGCTAACCAAAGCTTGGATTGAACAACTCCCAACAGTAGATGAAGTTTGGTTGTGTGTAAGGGTCTCAATGTTTCGTATTGTGTTTGATTCGTGTCGTGTTAAAATCAAATCGGATAAAAATTTGTTCAACTCATACTTTATCCATTCATATTCATGTATATATAGGTTTGTGTCATGTTTAATTTGTATCTTATATTTATATGAAACGTATACAAGTTGTGATAGCAGATGTGCTATTTTTCGTCGAGTTCATGTCGACTTATTTATTTGACAAATCTAACGGATCCACCCATTTTTTATTTGAATCCGCTAAAACTCAACTTGTTGTGGATAGATCTTTGTCATTCATATCTGCTAGAAGCGCGGTGGTTTTACTGTGGTCATACGCCAACATTGATTGAGTACTTGAGAAATGCTTGCACAACGGTAGCTGTCCATTCAACCATTTTCCATGCTTATGTGCTGCTAGGGTTCCCCATGACAAGGAATTCTCTCGAGTGCTTCAAGCTTGCCTCTGACACACTGTATTGGTCATCTTTGATTGCAAAACTTGTCGATGATTTAGGTACCTACAAGGTATGTGCACTTGATTGTCATAATCTTCATAACACACAGTTTGCATACGTCACGCGTCTACTGTGCAATTTGATATGAACAAAGAGAGAAATAGATGGTTTCTTGGCTTGAGGGAAATTTTAAAAGGGATTTAAGAAGAAGGGGGGGGGGGGGGGGTTGGAAGAGGGAGAAGAGAGAGGGTGGCGATAAAACTTGAGGATATTTTTGTACTTTTAACCTGTTTTGTTCATACCAAATTGCAACACGTGACTTATATACGAACTAATTAAATTGGATGAAAATGTGTTTGTGTCTTTTAATCCAACAATTATAAGAGAGTTATGTTCTAGTTTCAAAATTTATCGGGATGATAAATTACAAGAGGGTAAAATGAAGTTTGTCTTTTTTAAGTATAAAAGTTAACTGCTTTTTGTGCATGTCGAAGGTTGAGAGTGCGAGAGGGGATGTATCAAAATCCATCGAGTGTTGCATGATGGAAGAGCAAGTATCAGAAGAAGAAGCAGCAAGTCACATTAAGAGGCTAATAAGCTCGTCGTGGAAATGTCTAAACGAGACAATTGTAAGCAAATCACAACCCCTATCCGTTTTGAGGATGTCATTGAACATGGCAAGGACTACTCATTGTGTCTTCCAACATGGAGATGGTATTGGTACCTCAATTGGGGAGACAAAAGACATTTTAACCTCACTAATTGTCACACCCATTCCGATTGAGTAGAGCAGTCCTCCATGATTGACTCTGATCATTCCCTGTGTTCACTCTGGCACTTTGCATGGCTGCTGAATCAATTTACAAGCTGTTTTGTTGATGCTATGTTTTTTCACATCATTTGTGATTTTGTTTCCTTGTACAACTCAACAGTGCTCCTATTCCTGGGTTTCTTCTGTTACTCTCTTTAAGAAAAAAAACATCAAGTGGCGCAACAAGAAAAGATTATCATTTCCTAGCGGCTATAAGACTTCAAAATAATAATAATTATTATTATTATTATTATACCACAAGGTCCACAACTAGGGCTGTTCATCTGAGCTTATGAGAAGGAAATAGTGCATTTCATCTTCCGATCCTATGAATTGTGGAAGACCAATTTCTTGGCCGATCCTACCTAATCGATGGTAATGTTCCGAACCAAATTCCGCCAAAAAATCAGCTCAAAAGTCGGGTAAAAAAGAGGAATATCTCACATATTTTTAATTTTTAAGTCATTAATTTTTGAGTCATTTTTACACCTCAATTACCAATTTTTTGGGCTATTTTAACAATTATGCTATTAAATATAATATAAGAACACATAAAGTAATAATATTAAAAAAAAACACAATAAATCTGATCATAAAAACATATAAAATGACGTCATTTTATACCAAATATATTGTTTTTATAAAAAAATTAAATATATGGGCAGGTGGCATAGGAATGCAAATTTTTTATGGGTATTTTGTATTCTTAGCTGTAGTTTTGCGGAATACTTAAATTTCTTCCTTTGGCCAGTCAAAATTTTGTGGAATATCAATAATCGGTAGGAAGGATGCGGAACGGGTTTGATCCAGAACCCACCTTTACCCAGAAGACCTTGACTGACACTGTAGATTAAGTTGCCATATTATTGTTTAAATTGCAAAAAGTAAAATTCTGCTAGTTCAGATTTGTTGATGCAATGAGGCAACTTCTCAACACCCATTTCTGATCTGCAGGAAATTTACCTTGCTGATATCTCAATAATGAGACAAACATCAACAGCTATTCCATTAAAAGCTCTAATTACAAAGTAAATAAACTTGATACACACAGAGGTGACCCCTCTTTGACACCCCCCCCCCTTCTTCTTTCTCAAAGATCATTGGCTCTTTCCCAAACCAAACGTATCTTCTACGCCAGTAGTCACCTTCTTTCTTCGCTCTGCTATCATATCTGAATATGCCTGAGAAAGAATATGAAAAATCTAAGTTTCGTACCTCTTCCTTTTTCTAAGGCGAATGCAACAAATCTGAACTCATGTTCTATTTGAAGAATGCCAAACACGATCCATCATGGAGAATCAAAAGATTAACCACAGGACTCATTGCGTCTATTTTTCCAAAACCCCATAAGAACCCACATTCAATTTTTTAGCCTACAAGATCTTTCAGCTTCAACACCTCTCCATAAAGATCAAAAGAAGAATTGGGCTAAACAAAACTCATAAACCCAGCATAGGAAAGGGTTAAGTAAATGCTAATCAGAATATCCAACATTTTACAGAAGAGTTAAAGAGGTAAGTGGGTGATGCTCATACCTTGGGGTAGGAATACAAAAAGATGTACCACCATGCGCAAATTAAAGAGAGAACTACTGTGGTGACTATTACTGAGTGCAAAACTAGCCAGCTAGCGGTAACCATCAATACTCCAGTCAATGTTATTGTCCATGGTTGACACCTGAGAAATAAAGCAAACCAAAGTGTAAAACAAGAGAAATGTCATGAAGTATTCCGTAACAGCATAGCTTTATGAAGGGCAACTACAATTCTACGCCCGATGATGCCATGCAACAGTTACTCCATAGATCATATAGGATTCAAAGTAAGAAGAAGGAAGGGGCAAGTTCCATTAAAACTTCAAGTTTAACAAGATGGCATCACATGTCATGCAGTATTACCTGAACATTCACAACTATTAATGAGGGTTCAACAGTCATCGATCATTAGTCTATTTCCATTCCATAGTCAAAGAAGGAAACATCTAATATAACACTTCAATTCCAATTCAATGAAATTAGGAGAAGAAAACATATCCTTTTAACAACAACCTAGTTCTTATTCGAATAGGAACCAAGAAAATTCGAAACTAAAAATGCTTGACAAAAAAGATGATGACAACGACCTTTTCTGGTTCAAAAAACCTCTAATCCTCTCCCTTATAGCTACTAATTGATGTACTTGAAATGCATTTCCTATAGCTTCTAAAAAATTTTGGACTCTAGCCGGAATAAAAATGTTTATCTGCTCACTGCAATGATAAGCAGAAAGTAAGAAAGTTCCAACTCTTAGAAGAAACAGTCCGCGGTGACCAATATGTTTGCAGAGATTAATCCAAAATAAATAGAAAGAATACTTTCCCTCAGCTCTAATAATGTAAACAAAAGATATAGGGCAAACAAGAAACGTATCGTCAAGAACTAGTTCTGTTCCTATGAACAATTTTCACCCATAAATTTTTCTCAATTTCTAGAATATACTGCAAATCCCAAAGAAAAAATATTCAGTTCAATTCTACATTACACCATCAATAAACAGTCATAGTTGAATACATAGTCACAATTGGGTTATTACAATTTTGTGAGAATCAAGAAATACAAATTGGTTTGGACTAGCATAACCTTATCCACAAACCCATCAGCCATATTGTCCATATATATTCGTACTTCTCAGTCTACAATTCAAAAATATTCAATGAGATTCTGTGAAGTCCAAGTAATTTTGCATACATGAAGCAAAGGTATGAATTAAAGGTAAAATATGACATCCGAAGAAGACTAAGACATAAGTAAATCATAAAAACACCCAGGAAAGAGAATCGATCCATTTACCAGGAAGGTTTGGTATCCCAAACAGAGTCATACTCAAGAGAAAGGTAGTTGAGGTAACCATCCATGTCATCAACAGCGCCATTTTCGTCGAGAAACGCCGACTCTTTCGGGTCACTGGAATTGCTCCCAAGAACTACCGTTTTGTTGCGAGGAGTACTTGATTGGAGAGTGATTGAGGAGAGTTTCGGCCAGAGAATGGGATTGGAGAGATGGGTTTGTGAAAAGGAGTGATGGGTATGGAGAGGAAAAGAAAGAGATAGTGGGTAGAGAGAGAGAGCTTCCATCTTCTTGTCTTGTAGGTACTGTTAGAAGAGCCAGCCCGGTGGAAGGAACTAGGAAAGGCTTCAAATCAAATTATAATCTCATCTCACAGGAATTCAGAGCCTGAACGGTAGGAGTAGGCCAGCAATCCAACGGCGTCGTTTTCTTGGAAAATAAGCTTTTTCAAAATGTCTTAAATAAAAGGTAACTCGGTCGTTTTCTTAGAAATTAAGGTGCTTGTTTGGTTTACGTTTCAAAAAATAGTATTCGAAAATAATTTTTGAAAAGAGTTTTAAGAAAGTGATTTTGATATTTTTTTAGATAAAAAACTTGTCTGATTAGATAATTTTAAAAATAATTTTATAATAAAGAAAATAGTAAAATTTGTTTGGACAGTCTAAATATATATTTGAAAAGTAATTCAAACATTAATAAAAAATATAAAAAATTTATTTTTATTGATAATTTCGTAATATATATATATATATATATATATATATATATAAATAAATATAAATATTATAAATAATATAATATTTTTATATATATTATTTATAATATTTATATTTATCTATATAATAAAATAACTAGGTGTTTGAACTTATAGGGGATATATTTTTTCCCCCAAATTTCACACACTTTCCCTCCCAAATTTTATAAACCCAACACAAATATTCCACAACACATAGCTACACATATTTCAGTACACACACACACACACATTGTATATACACTCCAACTATACACACACACTCCAATACACGCATAATATCATAATTTAATATTTAGTGACTTCAGTTACGGGGTATCGCTAGTATATATATATATATATATATATGATATATAGATATATATATATAATAAAAGTAGAGTTAAGTTTAAATTCAAAGACAAAGAGAGGTTTAGATCATTTTGAGACAAAATATAAACACATTTAACAGACAATATAATTTCAAAATAAAAGTCCGTTGAGATTATCTAAAAAATTTTGATGTATTACTAAATTTTATTTTCCCACCGACCACATTTCCTGACTCACGCCTCTCCATCTCTCTCCCAAGCTCTCACGTCTCTCCCTTTCTCCCAATCTCTCATGCCTCTCCTCCCATCTCTCTTTTCTTGCATCTCTTTTCACGCATTCAGCCACCACCATATGAGACCTACCGGATCCCGCCACTAGAACACTTGGCATGTTTCCCCCCTTTTTCTATCTCTCCACCTTTTTTTGCTCCTATAACACCCACACCCAAATCAACCATGGGCTCAGGTTAGTCTTCTCTATCTCTCTATTCCTTCTCTAACCTCACAGCACACACACAGAACATCTCTCTCTCTCTCATACACACATACACGTTCTCTACATCTCTCTCACTTATGCACCATACCAACAACACTCCCACATATACTCACACCAAACACACGCACACACAAGAGTACAGAGGTGGATGGATTGGAATCAGAAGGAGAGAGAAAAGGGTCAAACAAAAGGCTTTTCGTCAACGGAAGGCTATCAAAGCTACACAAAAACCTCCAATGCTCGATGCGACTGAAGCCAAACTTAAGGTCATATCTTCAAGGCTTTTGTTTTAATCAACTTTCTGATTAATTTTGGATTAACTTTTTTGATTAACCATGGATTGACTTTTTGGGTCAATTGGGCTTTTGAATTAAGATTTGTTTCTGATGTGGTATTTTTCTGAAATTTTATGAGAATTTTTCAAGGATTAAATCTTGAATAATGGAGGAAGAAATTTTCAGAAGCATTTCATTACAATTTGGATCAGTCTACACCTCATACGTTGCATAGGTGGCCCGCAACGTATACCATCACTGGGCTTGGTTAGGAACTACATCAACTATATCATCAGTCTCCTAAAGTTACTCTGTTTTAATCATACAATCCTAGGCTTTATTTTTCATTTTTTGTTGATTGATATGATATTTCATGGGTATAATGGCTTGAATTTTTTGTTTACAACCTTTACTTCAGGCATGGACATAAGGTGTTTGACAAAATGTTTGTGAGAAAAAGCACGTAGGTTGATATGAAACAATCTTACAGTCTTCGTATCTAACGATATAGGATGTTTTTGTTTGTTGCCTATGGAGGGTCAAGGTTGCGAGTGCATTTTAGCTTGGAGTCAAGTAGGTTGCATATGTAGGGAGCTTTGTATCATGGTGTCATCTAAGAATTGCCCTTGATGCTTTTCTATGTTCTTTTTTTTTTTTAAGTCTAGTTTTGGGTAAAATTTGTTTTGTTTTGATAGGCAATTCGAGTAGGCTGTTAAAGTTCTTACTTTTGTCTACCGCAGTTGCAATAGTGCCTCTTGAAGCTTCAAGCATGGCATGAATTCTGTGGAGATTGCCAAATGAGCAAAGGAGGGTCATGAGGTTTGGATTTAATGGTTGTTATATGTATTTTCTGCCAACTTGGCTATTGCTTGGTATTTTGAGTTCGTTAAAAATAAAGGTTAAGTAGTTTTGGATGCTGCCATTTTCTTTCGAAACTTGAGTTGGGTACATTTGGCATGTCTACTCTTTTTTGTAATGTGATGTGTATACTTTGCTTAATCATCCTAATGGCTTTCAATTTTTTTGAAGTGAAGGATTTTTTTGCATTAGCATTGGGCAATAAATCGGCTTTCAGTGTTCAATAGCACAGTTTTGCATCCATTAACTTTAATCTGAATATTGGCAAGTGAAAGCATTGTGATGAGGATTACCAGTATACTATAAGTGTAAAGATGGATTCAAATCTTTCTTACAGCTAGAAAAATTGTGTTTCCTTTGGCATTGAAGTGCCAAATCGATTCAAGGTGAGTCTCCCCCTTCTTCTCTTTTTTTCTCTTACAATCTATATAGATTTTTTGTCTCTTATTTTTGTGGGTCTGTTTGCATCACTTTAGTCTCTTTTAATTGTGTGCTTATGCTCATTCGCATTGCATTTGTCAATGGGTTTTGTTGCAAGTTTTAATGCAATGGTTCGTGGGTTTTACTGCAATGGTATAACTAAATGTAGAGTCTTGGGGGTTCATTTCAAAGATTTTAGGTGAGTCTCGCTATCTCTCTCACTCATGATCTGTAGGATTTTTTTTGTATCTATTTTTATGTTGTGAGTTTTATGAACTTAAGTTGTTTGTAGTTTGTTTTCATGTCATCAGCACTGCATAATAATTAGAATTCCCATTAGCTTTGTACTTTCTTTATTCATTGGGGTTTGCTAGTGAATTGCTTGCTTTATTTATTGATTGTTTTGATTTGTTTTGGTATCAATTAATTGGTTAAAGTGGAGTAGTGCAAGTTTGCTTGGATTTGTTGAAATGATTCAAGCAAATTTTATACTATTCTTGGAGGGATATGAGTTTGCTTGGATTAATTGTTGTGATTCAAGCATATTGTATTGCCCTTTCTGGAAGTAGCATTACTGTTGTTAGTATGTGGTAAAAAGCCTTCTAAATGATCACCTATGGTGAGATAGGATGACTATTCCTATGTATTCATTTCAGTTTGTTGTTTGTTGTTACTTTTTGTGGGTAACCATGCTTATTATCGTAAGTTTTCTATATTGGTACTCATTTTTTCTTATTGTCCTTGGTTGTTCCATTTGACTCTTTTGAGGTTGGTTTAAATAAATTTAAATGTTATTAGTAGAGTTTTATTAAATATTATTTACTTTAATGACAATTTTTTTGTGTTATGCAAGTGCCTTCAAGCACGGGTATTAACTAGTATATATATATACTCATATCTGAAGATCTAAAATTGTTCTCCTTGTTTTCAAAATTTTCAAAAAATATTCTGAAAACAAGCTACACTTGTTTTTTGTGTTCTTTGACTCAAATCTCATTTTTTTTCCCAAAATTTAGAGAACAAAAATAATAAACAAACAGGTTTTGAGTGTTTTTAAAAATTTGAGAACAAAAAACTGTTTTCAAAACACAAACCAAACATGGCCAAGCTTTTTCAAAATGTCTTAAATAAAGGGTAACTCAAACGTTTTAAATTTAAATTTTGATAATTTTTTGAATTCAGATAATGAGTCTTAGCCCTCAATAATTTGTCGCTAACTAGACTGAGAAGAGGATAGTCTGCCTTTAATCGGACAAAAAAAGTAAATTAACTCAAACACTATTAACCGTTGAAAAAAAAAACCCCCCAAAAAAAAGGTGAGAAAAATTTACACATGATTTGGAGTTGTCACACATTAAGTTCAACGTTATTCATCTTTTTTTGTTTACTAGTTATTATCCATGTGCGTAACACGTAGGCCAAATATATAGAACAATTGCAAGACATTAAAGTAATATCTATCAAACTGCGTAATTTTTTGTGATACCATAAATAAAAAATTACCAATTGTAAAAACCATAACAAGAAAAATTTAAAGACCTTAAAATAGACATGCTCATTGGTCAATCTCATTGGTATATTTTGATAAATAAAATAACACTATCCAACTATTTGAAGACCATGTGTCTATCCAAAAAAACTGTCGGAGATAAGATCTAACCAGTTATTAACCTTCAATTCAATTCAACATGAAGGATGAAAATGATATTTGAGTACAAACTATTATAGTATAGATATAAATGTACGATTGGCTTTATATAATTGTTTTGGGGTGTTTATGGTAATCAAAAAATTTTCATGTAAGTTATTTTTATTAATGTACGTGTATATTGCTCATGAAACAAAGTGCATAAATATTGAAGTATGAAACACTTTCCCTAAGAACACAATCTTTGTAGACATTAGTGTTTTCTTTTTATATTAGAAACATGATGATTAAACAAACAAGATCATGTTAAAAAAAAATGATGTCTAAAATAATAATTTATAGAATATTTAGTGAAAACAAATCGTTTATCCAACCTTATAATATTTTCAAGTGATGTCATTCATGTCAAACCTTGTGAAGTTGTAATTGTGTCATTTTTCAACCACCTCTGTCTCATCACATCTTTTCAAGCCCAAGGAATACCGAATTTGCATGGTATTGTTTGTTTATCTTGTGAGGATTCGGTTCATGTAGCTTGTATACATTGCTTATTAAGAAATTGCAATATGATGGGTGAATTATTCAGAACATGGGTCTTTTCCATTCACAAACACAACTTTCCTAAATTTTACTTCATTGCTCGTGTTAGGCCAACCCTCAATTTCTTTAATATTGCCTTACTCAAATAATGATAATTTTGGTAGGAAAACATAAGGAATAGTAAAACCTATGCCGTCGAGTTGGAAAAGCCCATGGATGTTGTAAATTCAACTTGGCCATTGAGTCTAAAATTTAGTTTTAATGTTGTCTGTACCTTGATTTCCTTCACATGAATTTGATTTTTCAGGATTGAAAAGTTTATTTTCATGATCTCAAAATATGTGCAAAATTAAACATAGAGCTCAATAAAAATTTGTTGAAAGGTCAACAATTAAACATATAATAAACGAACCCATCAAAGAAAAATTTTATGCATGGACCAAAACTATTAAACTTAAAATTAACCATTACCCAAATAATCAATCAATATCCTATTGAAAGAAACATCACCACATAATATTCTGCAAAGACCCTCATGAAAAACAAACCCCTAAAGAAGAAAACCAATTGCAAACACTAAAAATCAAGTAAAGAACATTTGAAACAGGAACATCAATAGCATAGATCAAATGAGACTCAAGAACCGGAAGCACTGCACAAATCCTAAATTTTAGTCTCTCTTCCTTTATTGTTGCAATTAAAGCTGATCTTGCATCAACCATTTGAGTTGGCTTCACGATACACATGCTTTAGTTCGTGAGAGAGAGAGAGAGAGAGGAAAAAAATGAAGAACTAGTTCAATTGAAGTATGAAACATCAAAGGCATGAATTGATTCAGCATTTTTGTCACTTTGAAAAGAATAATTAAAGTTTCATTTGGACTCATATATTTACTAAATCAGTTACAATAGATGACAAAGAAAAGGGATATAATTGGAAGTGTCTAAACACATTGAATTATGTTCAGTTTCTTTGGCTTTGTAATTGATAAAATCTAAGTACCTGATGTATTTATTCAAATGCACAAGGAATGTTTATATCTTATATAAGGATAAGAAAAATATTAATGGTGACTACTGGTTTTATCATATTAATTAGCATGGAACAAGAAAAATAAAAATATGTCTAGAATAACAATCTAACAATTAAGACTCTACATAACAATTACAATTACAAATAATAAAATAATAACGGTGTTATTTTAACTCTAAAATGATACAATTGGTATTAGTTATTTTGATATGACTATTATAATCAATCAAAAATTTTTTATTTTTGTTGATATTTTATAAATGCTTCGTTTGGTACAATAGAAAAGTGGGATGACGAAAAGTTGAGGGATAAATAAAACATCATGTTTGATAAGGAAGGAAAGTAGGAATGATGAAAAAGTGGATGAATTATTTTTCTTCCAACTCACCAAAATCAATCCCTCTAAAATCGGAAGAAAAGTGGATGAAAAGTTAATTATTTGTGTTGAGATATATCTTATTTGTCTATATATATATTTTTATATATACATATATTATGTATACATTAATTTTATATAAAAATATAATGGTAAAATATGTATATATATATTTTAAAAAATTTTAAAAATAAAAATTTTAAAATTTAAAATTTAAAATTTAAATAAAAAAAAATATTTTTTCCATTTTAACTAAGGTTGAAAATTTTCGACTCAACATGATGACACGACTCGAACTCGATACAAAAATAAATAGGTCAACTCGCAACTCGACACGACACAATTAGTTAAATGAGTTACGTAAGGTTTGACTAATATTCGACACAAACTTATAATGACTCAACACTAATTTTATACAACACGACTTTATTTTCACCTTTAATCTTAGCCAGCACAAAAAAAAAAATATTCATTTTTATTTTTCATCCATCCAACCAACACACAAAAGAAGGAAAGTGTATCCTTCTTACTTTTCATCCTCCCTACGAAACAAAGCATTATACATATAATTATAATTATAAAAAAATACATATAGATAGTAATATTATAATTATAAAAAAAATAAGAACTAACCCAAGTAGAGCCACACACGTCATTGAGTTTCAACTTGTCTTACTCAACATAATTAACAGGCTTAATTATCGCACCAGGCCTACAATTCTGTGTGAGCTCCCGGCCCAATAGACATTGAAGTCCACCAGATTGGGCTAGGGTTATGTAGAATATATAGAATAAGCCCATTACACCGCCCTCTAAAACTCTAAACCCTAGGGTTAATTCCACGCATTCTCTCTCTCTCTCTCTGGTACACACTAGAAAACCATAGCCAAAGCTCGCCAAGGAGTGAACCTAGACGGTGGCGCCGAAAGGGAGACATCAGAGTATCTCTCTCTCTCTCTCTCTCTCTCTCTCATATATATATATATATTTCTATCTATGTACACGTGTGATGCATATATCTTTATACACATGATATGTGAATGTTAGTGTAGAATTTATTGGATGTAACGGAAGAACTCTTTTAGGAAAATGGCGGACAGCAAGGCGGTGACAATCCGAACGAGGAAGTTCATGACAAACCGGCTTCTCTCCAGGAAGCAGTTCGTGAGTCCTTTATATTCATGACGCCTGACTGGATTTAGTGTATTATTGTTTAGTTTGATTATATATGCGTCTTTTCCCAATTTGTGATGTTTGTTAGGTTTGATGATACAGGTCATTGATGTTCTACATCCAGGAAGACCCAATGTATCCAAGGTTTTATCTCTTATTTCACTCTGTTTTCTGTTATGTTTTTGCTTTTTGTTTTTTTTCCCCCTTACCTGTTTGTGATACTATTGAAGGCCGAGTTGAAGGAAAAATTGTCAAGGATGTATGAGGTGAAAGATCCGAATTCCATCTTTGTGTTCAAGTTCAGAACCCATTTTGGAGGGGGCAAATCAACTGGTTTTGGTTTGATCTATGATTCTGTTGAGAACGCCAAGAAGTATGAACCCAAATACAGGCTCATCAGGGTAATTCATTGATCTCTGCTTACTTATTTACCTGCATTGGTTTTGCATATATTATTTATTATTTATGAAAACAGTGTCCCAAAGGAGTAACCTTATTCCAGTATTATGTTCTTCTCTTATGCTGCACTTCTATAACCTGCTTTCCCCAATGAGGACTGCTGTATCATAAGTTGTTAACGTTGATTAACTAGTCTAGATGATTGTATGTACGTGGGATTTTGACCGTCTTACTTTCTGTATCATGCCATATGTACCACTGGAACAAAATAAGTGTTAGCTGGAAGCAGCTATTTAATCTGTTAAGAACCGTTTTCAAACCTTTGGTATCTGCTTCATTTCCTCAGGTTAATAGGGGTAACCCAAATAGGCAAGCAGCAGGGTTGGCGTTCTGCTTATTGATTGTGCACCTAAAAATGCCTTTGATATTTCCCTACTTATTCAAGTTTTTTCATATTTGTTGATGCTTGTTTTCTAGGAATGAGCATGAAATGGTGGTGTTAGTTACTTGGGTAGGAATTGCTAAAGGTTTTGCTTATAGGACACCCGAGGCATGTGAATTTCTAAAAGTTGGTATCTGCAAATAATCAAATTGCTATAGAGCTCTGTCCTTTATGCATTGTTGTGCCGTCAACATATAGAATATTAGCATCTCGGATGAACCCTTGTTTTGCGATGCTTGTGGTGAAAGGCTAATATGTTAACAATGCATTCAGAGACAGTTGATAGTTTTGCAACTTCATATTGGAGTTGACTTGCACCAATTATCTAGATAGGTAGAATGTGATATAGCTTTGCAGAATTTACTAGTTCCGGTCGTAATTAATGACTTGTCATCCATAAGTGGTGTAAGTGTTCTTTTTGTACATTCTCATTTGCACTTAATCATGCCTTGACTATCATGCTTACATAGTTGAATACTTTCCTGGATGGCAAGTTGGTGTGCCACACAGCATGTTTGTTGTGGGCCTGTGGCATACTGTGTGCATGGTTTTTGAATCATATTCTTAGCATTTGGTGTCAGATTGTCCTTTACTCTCTCTTATTGGAGCACATTAACATTTTTGTGCAGAATGGCCTGGATACCAAGGTGGAAAAATCGAGAAAGCAGATGAAGGAGAGGAAGAATAGGGCAAAGAAGATCCGTGGTGTAAAGAAGGTAAATGAATCAACTTTCTTTTTAAGATTTCTGGGCACAATGGCAAATCTCAACCAGGCATCTTGATTTTTTGGGTTCTATATGAGGACCTGGAAATCTTGGTTGACATTTACCAGTTTAATGGGCTGGCATGTTTGTTTAGGTCTTCAGCCTGACATTGCTTCTCCTTTCTTTTGCATTCATTCATTCATTTTTCTTTTTTTTACCCTTTCCGTTTTCTTTTAGTTTTTCTTGAAAAAATTGTTAACCCTCATCTAAATTCTTTCTACAGACAAAGGCTGGAGATGCTGCCAAGGCTGGGAAGAAGAAATAAGTTTCAAGAGTTTTGTGGTCAATTGTGTGGCAGGATCCAAAAAACAAGGAATGATTATTGCTGCATCCAATTTCCATATCTGAATACCGGTCTCATTTTCTTTTTCTTTTTTTTTTTTTTTCAATTTCCTTGGTGAATGACACCTCTGGTGTTCATCATGCCCGATACAAGTCTCATTTACTTGTACTGACTAGAGTTGCAAATTGATAATTTTGGTTTAGAGTTGGCATGATTATATATTTTTTTCTCCGTTGGTACATGCCAATGGTCTCTGGACCATATTTGTGCATCAATTGAATTCGAATTAGGTTCTTAGGCTTTTCAAAGTGGTTGACAAGTTTTGATTCTTGGTGATTTTACCTTCATTGCAGACTGGAAAGTATTGCCTCTTACATATCAACTCTGTTGTCTTTGTTTTCCTTGAAGTAAGAACTTCAGATTCTTCTGTCCAGCTACTACGTTCAGAAATATTCCTAGCGTGTTGAGCTACTATATCATGAACATTATACGAAGTTATAGTTGTGTGCCTATGAAAAAATGAAGATAGAATAGGTGTAGGAATAATCATTACACTTCCGAATTCGAAGCAAGAAAACTGCTATATAGGCATGTAATGTAAGAGAAGAATGATAAGAGGGAGAAGGGTGAGCTCTTGAATTCTACGGAGGGCTGTTTGTGTTTACAAATGGACCATTGCATGGTGTATAGGAGCCTTCTTATTGATTTTCTGAAGACTTGCGTGGTTGGTTGGTATTGTGGTTTATTTTTTTGACTTATTTTTTGAAAGTTTTTGTTATACTTGATTACGAAACTATCCTCATAAGAACTATAAGTTAACTTGTTTTTAAATAGCTGATATTAACTTGGATATATTCTTTGAATAGGTTTGTGATATTTTTATAATTTACGTAAAGTCATGCTGGATATATTTGTCTAAAGAAACGATCGTGAGAGCAACTTAAAAACTTGGTTGAAACAAAATTATTTCCAACAAAAGGATGAAAATAATGGATACAAATTTCTTCTATTATATGTGTACACTAATAATAATTATGTGTCTGAATATATTATATAATATTAAAAATTAAACTAATCTTTTAATATTTATATTTTAAATAATAATTTGATTTTCTTTAAGTATATAATTTAAAATTAATATGAAAAGAGATATGCGTGTAGATTGATGAGATTGTTTGACACTAGGGACTATGTTGATTGAGTTGTTTGATATTGAAAGTCGTGCAAAGAAATTGATATTTTTGGATTATTATTATTGTTATTATTTATAAATATTGTACCATTGAATCAAATAATATTTGATCAATCTTGATCATTGTTGTGATTTTAGAAGTTTTTTTTTTTTTTGAACAAGAAAAAAAAATTGAGAATTCAATTTCTTAACTACAATATTAGATAGATATATGTATATATTAGTGGTCTCAATCATGTCATTTTCAATACGTATCATCTATGTGTCAAAAAAAAATAAAATTATACTTATTAATAAAAAATTATTTAATTTTACAATATCTCATATAATACTATTAGTCATAAACCGTGCCCCAAGACACGACGAAACATAATATTCTAACTTTCAAAAAATTGATTCTACTATACCAATTTTTAAATTATTTTTTTGTTTATATCATTTAAAATTAATTTCTACATATTATTTTCTTAAAAATAGTGTTAAAATTTTTTCAAAATGCATAACTCGATAAATTTTTTTCAACATGTATACACTATTGTGTATGAATAATGTATGAAATAAAAATTGTGTTAAACTACAAATTAATCAAATGATTAAACATGTGTTCAAATTAGGTGATGTGATATTTTTTAGGAGGAAAATATATAAGGAATAAAGATTCATCTTGTTAGCTAATTTATTATGTAAATATAAAAAAATTATAAATACATTTTTCTACCTATTAATCATGCTATTCATGTCTAATCTTATTTTGACCCATTTTTTATTTATATCAATTGATCATATTATTTTCAAATTTGGTATCAAGTCGAGCTCGAGTCAGCAAGAAAAATTGCCATCTTTAATATATATTTAATTTAATTTTATTGATTGATAGATCATCTATTAGTTAAAAAAAAATATATATTAAAACCAATCCAATTCCGAAAGTTGTTATGTTTTAATATAAACTAGTTTAGAGGCCAAATAAATATCTTACTTTTCTTTTAATCTTTCAAATTTTTTGTTGCGAAGAAGAAGAAAACAATAAATTTTAAAATATTTGATTTCAATTGTGACGAGAAAAGGAGGGAAATTAGCAAATAGGAGTCATAGGAGGAGGAGGACCCTCAAAATTACAATCCCGCCTATTCTCGAGTTGCCTTGCCTACCTACCTACACTGACCAATACCACCAAAATTACGTACAAAAAAAAAAAAAAACAGTAATGCCAATCCCCAAACCCCTCCTCTGTCTTCGCTCTCTCTCTAAAACCCCTCCCTTCCTCTCTCTAAAGTCCCAATCCCATCTCAATATTCTCTTCACCCTTCCGTTCGCATTCCACCGCCTGAGCACACACCCTGTAGATACGATTGGTGCTGTACTTATATACCGTTGGATTTCGGTGGCTTCTCGTCGGTGAGTTCTTTTTTTTTTTGGGAAGTCAGGTAAGAGGTCTCTTTTGTTGAGTTTCATTCTATATTTTCTGTATTTTTTTTTTTTGCACGTTTTATTTCTTCGCTTCTTTTATCTGATTTTCGTTTTCTTTTTTGGGCTTTCAGAGATTTTTTAGCTTGCTTGATCGAGTGTTAATCTGGTGCGATGTGAGTCTATGACTATTTGTCGAGTCGAGATTAATGCTGTTTCCTTGGATAGATGTTTTGGGTTGGTATTAGTGAGCTTTTTATTTGTATCTGGAAGGAGGGTTTTGGAACTTTGTATTTAGGGTTTATGTGTGTTCGATGAATGAGATGAAAGAGGGGTTGAGGTCAAGTACTCGGGTACAAAAAGTTGAGGTTGATTTGAACCTAAAGAATGGTGATGAAGCCGAAAATAAAGATGATTCGAGCCAAAAAAATGAAGTTACCATCACTCCTGAAAATAAAGGGTCGCCTATGACTTTGACTGAATCGGAATCAGGTGAACAGTTGACTCTTTCTTCCCTAGAAAAGGAGGTTGAGGAGAAGGGAAGCAAGTCTGAACCTGTGGACTGTAGCAAAGATGCTGATTCTGATGTCAATATCAGTAATGATGCCAATGCCGATGATGAAGCTGAAAAGGGTGGCTGTAAGTCCGCTAGAGGTTGGCAGGGAAGAAAAAGGAAACAGGTGGAGAGTCCGGAGAAGGGCAATGATTCCCCCTACAAAGTTGTTGAGGAAAAGGGAGCTATGTTTTTAAGTTCAAACACTGCCGATTCTGTTGAAGATTTGCCTTTGTCTACCGTAGAAAGAAAAGTTGTAGAGAGAAGTGGGTCTGAACCTGTGGGATGTGATCAAGATGTCAATGCTCGTTTCGCTGTGAGTTCTGATGCCAATTGTGGTTCTGATGACGATAGGTGTAGACTTAGTAAAGGCCGGAGGGGAAGAAAAAGAAAGAAGGTGGAGAGTCCAAAAAAGGAAGATGAGGCTCCTGTAACGGGTGATGTGCAGAAGCCGGGCCCACCTTTGATTTCAGACAATTTGCGTTCTGACAAAAAATCAGTTTTTTCTTCCTCAGAGACAAGACATGAGGAGGAGAGAAGTGGACATGAACTAGTACAGTGTGGAAAAGATGCTGATGATGGTGTCAATGTGGGTGCCAATATTGATGGTGATATCAATGCCTTTGATCATGAGGCCAAGTGTAAGCCTGAAAAAGGCCGACGGGGAAGGAAGAGAAAAGTGGTGGAGGATTCTGAATGCAACCAGGATGATGGGGTTGGGAGAAAGAAGGTCAAGGAGATGTCACCGGTTATTGGAAGGGTTTTGCGATCTAGAACATCATCCATGAGTGGTGATGAGATCGTTTTTGATGGCGGAAAGGGTGTGGGAGGACAAAGAAAGAAGGAATTTGTCCAGTCAAGCAAGAAAAAGATTGAGAGAGGAAAGCATCATGGGGTTCGATTGATTGGCGGACCCCAGAAAAAATTAAATGGCAAACGAGGAAGACCCCCCAAGGATCTATGGAAGAAAGGAGCATCTGTGGTGATTGGTGACAAGAAAGAAAAGGCTATGGGGTCCAAGATCATTAAGGGTTCCAAGTTTCCCAAGGTGCACAAGGGAAACAGTGCCTTAGAGGTGTTCAATGATGAGAAAGAAAATTTTGTAAGTTCCAAGGAAAAGAATGATCAACCAAAGGATCAAGACCAGGGCAACAGGTTAACTAATGATTCACTTCACGCAGGGAAGAGCACTAATGGGAAGCAGTTGAAAATGAAGAAGCACATGAAAGGAGAAATGGGGCGTAGAGAAGAACAACAGTTAGTGAGAGAACAAATTATCAGCATGCTTAAGAAGGCAGGCTGGACTGTTGAATACAGACCCAGGCAAAGCAAGGAATATCTGGATGCAGTATATGTTGATCTTGATGGAAGAACTCACTGGTCGGTCACCTTGGCTTACAGGATGCTTAAACAAAAAGTTGATGATGGAGTTGCTGACAGTAAGACCATTTCTGTGTTTACGCCTATACCAGAGGAGGTGCTCGGCAAACTTTTTAGGGTGAGACAAGAGAAAAAGGAAAAAGGTCTCAAACAGAAGCAAGGGGGTAAAGGTAGAAGTAAGACCAAGAAAGGACAGACTGGAAAGTTGTTAAAGAATAATCCTACTAAGAGCATTTCTGGATTGAAGGTGAAAGAAAGGAAAAGTAGAAAACCATGTACTTTGCTGGTTCGTAGCTCTGAGAAGGGGTTGGATCCGGATAGTGATGGTTTTATGGCATATAATGGGAAGTGCAGTCTTCTTTCCTGGATGATTGAGTTGGGAATTGTTCTGCCTGGTGGGAAGGTGCAGTATATGAACAGCACAAGGACAAGAACATTACTTGAGGGACAGATAACCAGAAATGGCATTCAATGTGATTGCTGTAATGAAATCCTTACAATTTCAAATTTTGAGTCACATGCTGGCTGTCAATTGTGTGAGCCATTTAAAAATATTTATTTAGAGTCTGGAGTTTCTCTTCTGCAATGCCTAGTAGACTCATGGAGTAAACAAGAAGATTGTGATCGCATTGGGTTCCATTTTGTGGATATTGATGGTGATGACCCCAATGATGATACATGCAACATTTGTGGAGATGGTGGTGACTTGATCTGTTGTGATGGTTGCCCGTCAACATTTCATCAAAGTTGCTTAGACATCCAAGTATGGATACATTACCTCCTCCTCCCTCTGCATTTATGGTTTCGTTAGTGTTTCTATGCACCTGACAAGCAATGTTGATTTTGCTTTGTAATTCTCACATTTCTTGATTGGTCTTTTGGCTCTGCAATCAGCTGGTTTTAGACATGGTCAATAAACAGGGATAGCGGATTTCCAATGAGGCCCTAGACAATAGCTGGCTTAGGTTTTGGTTGGTGATTCCACATTCGGCCTGACCCAAAATGCTACCATAGTCATCAGTCATCCCTGTTCAACCTATTGATATAGAATTACTGACAAATTAAGTGTAGATACTAGAACCTCCAATGCAAAATATTGTAGAGTTTCAGTTTCTTTTTTATTTTTCCCCCAGAAAGTTCAAAAGTAATTTTGTTCCTTATGTGTAGCAGTTTCAGTTTCTTAAGTTGTAGTATTTTCATGTGCATGTGTTGGGCCAAAAGCTGTTGAACATGGACGTGAACTCAAGCTTGTAAGTTTTAATAGTCATTCTAGACATAGCCTAGCTTGTCCGAAGACCTTATTTAGTCTCTGTCCTGAATGATCTATGAGGATAGGAGGTTGCAGACAATGTTACCTGCACTTTGGGTCCCTGAATGTTGTGAAGCCCAAATGTTCATGACTATTTTGCTTGTCTATCTAGACAAGGCTGTGGGCATCCAAAATGAATCATGACCTAATATTATGATCTTGCTTGGGCAGCATTTATGTGGGAATAAGTGTTCTTGTTCTTGCTATAAGCTTGACAGTTTTGATCGGCGTCGGTAAATGTTGAAGTAGCTATGTCTAAATAGTTTCCACTGGCAGATGATGTACTCATTTTTTTTCTTTGCACTTGTAGAAGTTCCCTTGTGGTGACTGGCACTGTCCATACTGTTCATGCAAATTCTGTGGAACAGTAGCTGGGAAGATATCCCGGGGGACGATAATCATGATGAACGCGTATATGAAGTGCTTGCATGCCGTTTGTGTGAGGAAAAATGTATGTACTTTAATCTTCATCGAATTTGAAATTGTTTGGATACTCTTAGCTTTCTATCTTCTTTTTGATTTTCACACTAAATGGGTAGTATTCTTTCTTTAGCTAACAACTTTTGCCTGCTGCAGTCCATCAACTGTGCATCCAGGGGGAGGATGCTATAGATGTGAATTCCAAATTTCCATCTTTTTGTGGGAGAAACTGCCAGCAGGTAAAATGCTAGAGATCTAATGTTCAATTGACTAGCTCAAATATGTTTTTCTAATGTGAGATAGATTGTTTAGACTTTTTATGCACCGAAATGAATCTAATTCCTGTTGTTTAATAGCTCTTTGAGCGACTACAGGTTCTTCTCGGGGTCAAACATGAACTAGAAGAAGGGTTTTCATGGACTCTTCTTCAGCGTTGTGATGTTAGCAGTGATAATTCTCTTTTTGTTGCTCCACTGAAAGTTGAATGCAATTCCAAGTTAGCTGTTGCATTTTCTGTTATGGATGAGTGTTTTTTGCCAGTTGTTGATGAGAGAAGTGGCATCAGTATGATTCATAATGTTGTCTACAGCTGTGGGTATGAACTCTAGAACTATATTCTGCTTGAACCACTGAATACAGTAAATGGATGAAGATAAACTTTTAAATTTGTAGGTGTGTGTTAGTTTGGAGGTTTACTGTGTAAACTTGGTGAAGGTAGTCCATATTTTATACTTGGATGTTTCATTAAAGGCTGAGTTTGATTCTTTGTTGCCATTCCAATTAGGGGATTATGGAGTTGGAATTGATTAACTGAGCTGATTTTTATTCTTGTTTGTTATTATTCTATTGTCTGAAGGTTCAGTTAGTCGGTTGCTTTTGTTGTCTGAAAACTATGACCAGTGGAGGATTACGTCTTGTTTACTCATACTTTCTGGTTCTCCATATTGGAGTAAGCCTAACAGGTAAATACAGTTTGAGCATTTAAGTGGATGCAAGCATATAGAAATTCTTCTCGGTTGTGGTAGAACTTGTGTTGCAAATTTGTGTGAAGAGTTTCAGACATTTTTTTTTTCACCTTGGTGCGCGCGCGCGGGGGGGAGGGTTAAACAAATGCTGCCCTATTGACCTTTACCCTAAGTTGGAATAATATGTAGAATTAGGACAAGTAACTTAAGTTTGAACTTTATACTGGATGGATTTAAGTAATATTGTGGTAATTAACTTCAGATCAGCTACCATAGTTAATTTTAGATCTACTTCCAGTTTAGTTTCAAACCCCTGTGATATATTTTGTTTTTCCTCATTTGTGTTTGTTGACTTCCAACTATAAGCTGCGTTTATGGAACATCTTGAATTTAGCATTTATATTGACTTACAGGCTGGTGAAGTTGTTTAGTTGTCTCTAACCAAATAAAAAAAGGGATATTTGGGGGCTGGTCCACTTTTTTAGACTTATTTGGAAACTCTCTCTCTCTCTCTCATATCTTTCTATATACACATGTACAAACGTACCCAATTTAAACTAATTCAAATTCAAAATCCCTTAATTTTAGATTTTTCCTAGATTACGACTATTTCTCTCATATATAAGAGAGAAATAGTAACATTCAAAACAAAAAAAATAGTAAAATTGAATATTAACAATTGGGAAAATAAAACAAAAAATAGTAACATTCAAAAAAGGAAAATTTTATATATGTTTTCAACATGAATGGCAAATTCGGCATGGTTTTGATCCCTTGTAGAGTTTTCTGGCTTGTTTTCCAGGCAAATGAGTTCAAACTCTCTTCCTGATTTGTTGGGATTGGTGGGTTTAAGAAATGGGTTGGAGTTGAATGGTTTTTGAGGTGAACTCAAGTGACATTGGGTGGAAGAGAGGTGGGGGTTGGGAAGGTCATGGAATGTGACCTTTGAATAGGATTCGATGGGAATGTTTGAGATGGAGGAAGAAAGTCTCAGCATTTTATCTGGGACCAAACACGCCAAAACTTCGGCTCATCTGATTTTCTTGAATTAGTGATGATGAAGAAGGTAAAAACAGAAGCTTTAAAGGGAATTGTAACTAGTTAAAGTCCTGAATGCAAAGCCATGGGCGTTGACAAAGAAGAACAACTACTTCTAAAGGGCAGTAAACATTTACAAAAAAGAAAAACACAGCTGCCAAATACAAAACTTTCACTGTTGATACTGTCCAGTCCTAATCGTGTTTATTCTTACACTTTGGGAGGTTGAAGATCGATCGACGGGAATAGATGTGATGATAGATTAGAAGGATACCAAATGAAGGGTTAGATACATACAAAATTGTATGAAGAAGAAGAAGAATTGAAGGAGAGCAGTTCGAAATTTTTTAAATTTGACACCTAAGATTGGGAAGATATAGAAACTGCCATCAGTTATGGAATTATAGTCTCCACATCAATTTGGAAACTCCTCCTAACGTTAAAACAATCTATTAAGGGTGTTTTAGTAATAATAGAAAAGGAAACACTCAAAATGGACTTAACTGCCAAATAAGATTACTAATATAGGACTTAATGACATATATGTTTGAGGCTTGGACTTAAAGCCTTACAAGTCTTGTAAATAGGATTGGCCCCAATTATCACGTAAAAAAATTGTTTAGTTGTGCATGTGCAGTTTCTTGCTTTTGATACTTGTTTTGTCTGTCTGCTAGAAATGCCGATATGATTTTTCTTGAATAAATATTTGGAAGGTAAACCTGATCTTGTTTATTCTATCAGCAATGTTTGAATGGATATTGTTTTCTGTGATTTTTAGGAATGTAGTATCCTGTTATTTATCTTACGACAAATAATACCACATCCTATGTTTGGAGCTGACTCTTTTGCTTGAATAAAAAGTCATTTTACTTTTTGAAAATTGTTTCAGGTCAAACTTTAGTCGGCTGAATTACAGTGGTTTCTACACGGCTATTTTAGAGAGGGGTGATGAAATCATCTCAGCAGCATCTATAAGGTTATTTCTTGCTTCGTCCTTTTCAGTGCATTGGTTTATGGGTATGGAGACATACTTGTGTTCCAATTCGTGACCTTTAGGGGGCATATTAATAGAATAATGACCTTGAGTCAAGGATCAAAATATCGTTTCGGAACGTTTGAAACGTCCATAACGTTTCCGTTTTTAAGGAGACCGAAATGAAATAGCGATGAAATCGAAATTTCAATATTTCGAGGTATTTCATAATGTTTCGAGATGTTTTATAATATTTCAATACATTTGCACAATTATTTCGGAATGTTTCAATGTATTTCAAGATATTTTGATATATTTCAATCAATGTTTTAAAAAAATAATTTATAAATTTTTTATTTTTTTCATTATGTTTCCGAAACACATCGAAACATTTCCGTTTCTTAGGTGACCGAAACAACACACTAAAACGAAATTTTAATCCTTGCCCTAGATGTATATTTTTTCAGACATTGCAAAACTGAATTGAGTTTGTTGCTGTCATCGTGGCACCATGTTCATCGTTGGCATCATAGTCCTAGAGTTCATGTACCTTGCTGCTTTCCAAATTTTACTTTTGAGCATTTTGCTTTTGCTTTTGGTGGATTGATTGCTTTAGAAGCACTGAAACACTTAACCTCAGTTTTCATACTACAATGCCCCTACTTCTGATGAGAACTTGCTTTACAACTACGAGCATCCATCATGCAGCCGAGGGGCCAGCAGAACCTTTTTTGGGGTGGACAAATAAACTTCCTTATGAAAAGAATAGGCTTATTGATGAATTATTTAAGTTGGAAGTGAATGAAGGACACAATTTTTGGGATTCGGTTCTCTTTCTATGGTGACGCAGAATCCTTTTTTTCAAAAATAAAAAAATAAAAAAAATTCAGCTTGCACAACACTACCATCAGCCCCTACCCCACCACAAAGCAACTATTCAATTCAACAAAAAACTGATCTCAACACCCACCAATTCATTTCAACAGTTAGAACACCACCACCTGCCCCTTGCCCGCCCCACCCCTCACCTACTCCCTTTGCTATTGAGCCCATTTACCACCACTGATCACACCCATCACTGGCCATCAATCCATCACCACCCAACACTGCTGAAACTCTTCCCACCCTCCACCCAACTGACACTCACAACTGTCGAAAAACCCCACCCCACTCATTCCTCACCCCTTTACTTTCATTTCCTGTGCGGTGCAGCCTTATTATGCCCATGGTCAACCACCACACCCACCACCACGGCCTCTCAGAAAACACCACCTCTTCCACCCGGATAGTTGACAACACAAACCCACCAACTTCACCACCACATACACAGCAATGGCCACCAAAAACCATCAACCCAGCACTCAAATTCAGCCAAGTTTAACTGGGACATGATGATTTAGGGGAGAACCTGAATTTTGTTTGGCCATATCGATGGTGGGTTTGAGAGAAATTTATAGACCTTAGGGTCACAGATGATTTTCTTCGCCTTTTTTGTGTCAGCCAAAGTGGCTTCAAGGTTTCATTTGATTTTAGGTGGTTGGGGGACGAAATCCCCACAAAGTAGAGGTGATTGTTTTTCCAGCTTCGAATTGGGTTGATGCTGGTGATCAAAATTGGTATCTGATTGGAGTTTGCTTTAGCCAATCATTATTACCGGTGATGAGAGAGGGTGTGGATACGAAAAATTGTGCTTTGGGCACTGTTTCTCTCTAGCTCTTTCTTTCAATACTTAGATTCTGTGTGTTGTGTATGTGTGTGTGATAGGAGGATGATGGTGTTCTTTCTTTTGTTCTTTCTTGCTATATAAGAGATAAAATGGTTTGCACTGACAATAGAATGAAAGATTGAGAGTGAAAAAAGAACAGTTTCTGTCATCCTGGTTATTCGACAAACATTGGCCGGGGTGTTAGTGTATTTTCAGACAACCAAGAGGGTGTCTTTGTAGTTATATCAATCTCCAAGGGATTTTGTTGGTAGTTATTCCTGTTTTTTTCTTTTTGGCTGTGTAAGTATTTAACTTTGTGTAACATCAAATAGAATTCAAGGTGCAATCAGAAAAAAATTGAGGACAGCGGGCAAGCATGTCACCAAGTTACTTTTATTTGATGTTTCCCAGTTAGTGCCAAATGTTCATTGAAATGTATGGTCCTTGATTGTATTTATCCGTTTTTCCTGATGTGAAATGCAATTTGATTCAATATTCTCTATCTAAATTTATTTTGTGCTGGCTCAAATGTGCCAAGAGTAGAATGATCTTGTGAGATTTTGTATGCTTTGTAATTGAAGAATATATTTATTGACAATTACATGCTTTGTAACATTCATAAACAGGATCCATGGGAGTCAGTTGGCGGAGATGCCATTCATCGGGACTCGCAATATGTATAGGCGTCAAGGGATGTGTCGTCGGCTCCTAAATGCAATTGAATCTGTAAGAGTGATTAAATTTAATTTGTATTTTTATTCATTAGAATTTTTCTCTTGTAATTTTGTTCCCCTTTTCATGAACTTATATATTCTAGTATTGCAGACAATGTGAGAGTATAATTTTAAATTTGAATGTTAGTCTTTTTCCTCGGTCTTCGTTAATATATCCTTGTTATCCATCGAGATTGTGTGTGTACATTTGTTTAATCCACAACTATCGTGTACGTCCAAACCATAAATACTAGGATTGTGGATACCCCAAGCTCCTCATGAATGAGGGGAGCATGACTTGAAATAGGGTGGGTTTGTGTTCCTGATCGTCCAAATTCCCAGTCTGAAATTGTAAACCTCAAGTTGACTCCCAATCTTGGTTATCTAGAATTATAATCCTAATCCCAATTTGTTACCCTAGCTGATTATTTTTTAATTTTGGTGATATGTTAAACTTTGATTTTATGTATGCTAGAATTTTTTTCGTAAATCAAGTATACAACCACTAACCTTTTGTTATTGAGAACCATTAGCAGGTACATTGTATGGATTATGGTTCGATTGGAACTCTTGTACAAATTATAAAATAAATATTAGTTAATTACGTGTGTATGGATGCATAATTATACATAATTTCATATAAGACAGTGATTTGGATAACCATGGTTGAAAAACTACATATCAACTAACTAAACGGCATTGCACCGTGTATCGAAAAAAAGGATTGTACTGCCGCTCGTAGCCCAATCCAGATTACTCATGATCTAGGTAATGTGTGTACAAACACTAAACATGCCTCTTGTAAATACATGATGTTGATCCAAGATTTTTTTTTGTTTGCATAGTACATGAATAGTGTGATGTAGTCTACTTTTAATGCTGATAACAAATGGTATAATCATGACGCCGAATTCTTGGGCTTCCTAACGTCAGAATTCTTATGCATTGTATTTGTTATCACTTTCTGGTACTATGTTCAGGCTCTCTGCTCTGTTGATGTGGAAAAATTGGTTATACCTGCAATATCCGAACTTTTCCAAACCTGGACTTCGGTTTTTGGTTTCAAGTTGCTTGAATCAAAAAGAAAAACAACGAGGCACATGAGTATGATAGTGTTTCCTGGCACAGATATGTTAGAGAAACCTCTATCAAAGCATCAGGTTGCTGAAGGACACATGATTCTGGCTGCAGGTAGTTCGTATATTCTTGAATAGTATCCTCCCTTGACCTTTTTAAATTAATGCAAACTATGTCATTACTGTAGATCTAAAGTCCACTGAGCTTGGAACTAAGCCTCAAACGTTGCACGTGGAGGCAAATGTTTCTGATAGGGGATGTTTCATTGGATCTGATTCCAGTGCTTCCCCTGAGGCCATTGTCCAACATGCAAGTGGAGTACATGGTGAACCTGCTGCTTGTAAATCTGGTTTGCATCATCCTGATGGTTCCTTGCACAATCAACTTGTCAAGGATTCAACTTGTGATGCTCCTGAAATCGGGCAGCAAACTCCAGAGGGGATGAATAGATGTCCAAATGTTCCATCTAGTTCTGTATTGGTTCTTCCTGATATCGAAACTGGGGAACGGAACCCCAATTTGGCCCAACACGATATTTGTGGAGTGGAAATCAAACCGTCCATTGTTCCTCAGATCGGGTCTGATGCAATGAATTGTGCGAGAGAAACTACTCATGCATTAGAAGGGGGTAAAGATGCTGGTGATTTTCTGCAGAATACTGATGTTAATTCTTCTAAGCCCAATTGCGGTTCTCTTGAGGGGGGCTCGATACAACATCCTGCTGGAATCATGAACCAACGTCATGATGCAGAGCTACATGAATTTCAAGCTTCTGATTCAGGGGATACACTTCTGATGTCCTCTGATGCAAAGTATGAGATTCAACTTCATCGTGACTCCCATACTACTTCGCCATCTCTTGGAAGAACAGAAGATGTTGCAGAGGACTCGGATATACCTTTGCCTGATGGTAATAGCCAAAATTGTCCATGTCTGGTGAATGTTAGTAAAACTCATGAACCCCAAGATTTCGCTTCAGTTGACAATAAGCAGCTTCCTTTCTCTGGGACCGTCCTGTATGCTACTGCTGGATTTGATTCCCCAGCCTCTTATATGGATCCTGGATCTTGCAAGTCCTCAGAAACAGGATTAGGGGTTGATAACGGTAATATTTCTGGGGTAAGGGCATCTTCCTTGACTTGCCCTGTTGGGGTGAACCAAACTAGTTTAGTAGAGGTTGCTCGCAATGATGTGCAAGAGCTTAAAGAACAATTTGCTGCTTCTCAAGCTGATTTTTATTCTGTGGGTGTGAATTCTCTTTCCAAGGGGTCTAAGTTGTGCTCCAAATCATCAGAGCAACCTGAGTCTTGTTCTCAGGTTGATCACACTAGTGTCACTCTTTGTGATTCAGAATCCTTGAGCATCTCAAGCTCCTGTCCTGATTTGGTTGGTCTCTGTACTTCTGGCAGTCGTAATCTGTTTGGCATATCTGAGGTGATTATACTATTGGAAAAGGTGTATTAGTTTTATCATATTTTTCCTTTTACCAACCAAGCTTCAACTTGAAGAGCTAAATTAACAAAAATTCACAAATTTTGGTGTTCATTAAAGATCAACTGCATTGCCATGCAGCATGATGGTGTATTATTTGTAATTTATAAACTCTTCCCATGGAGTCAGACTTTTTCATTAAAAGTGCTTTCTTGATAATATTTAACCCTTCTAGGCATGTTATTTTTCTTTTCAGTTTCCAACCAAATGACATCTTTTTGCCTTCACACTGCTCCATTTTGCTTCCTTTAAATTTTTGGCTTATCATTTGGTGAATTGTGTTGCAGGTAGGTTCATGTAGGTTGTTGAAGAGTGGTAAGCTGTGCTGACTAGATATAATATGAAGCGTGGAATGCTGGACTTGGGTAGCATGTTTGGTTTTTTTGTTAAGATTTTCCAATGGCATTTGAATGCTAATCAGTAGATGCTGCCTTTTAAGGAGTGCAAGTCTGTAGATAAACATTTGTTTTTTGAAAAGGGGTGGTAGGGCAATATCTACAAGAATAGCAAGATACGGAAATATACAACTGGTTTTCTGCAATCTAATTAATACAATGTGGAGTCCTTTTGATGCAAATGTGTGCAAACAAAGTAACTTCATATTGAGGTATGCTTGTTGTTGTTACAAAATCTCTTACTGGCTTGTGTTACTTTGACAACCTTATTGTGCTGTATATATCTCTTTACTTGTCAGGAAAACCTTGAATTCGAGTTTTCAAGTTGTTTGCAGAGTTGTTTAGCTATATTGTTAAGTCGCTGAGAAATTGTAGGCATTTAGCCTTGTCCGATCTCCCTGACTTGCATATTGTTAGCCTTCTCCTTGTTCATTCATGCATGCTGTTTCAAAGACTTTGCAGTATGTGACTGAATCGGCATAGGATTTTCTTATAGTGTACTTGATTAGTGTGGCCTCTAAATGCTCATTTAGGCATTAACTTCTTATTTATTTACATTTAGAGTTTCTCATTTATGTTTTAATTTTCAATTAAATTAAGCATTCCTTTGAGCCATATAGTGATGCCAACCACCAACCACTTCACTTTGTTCCTATTACAAAACATCACTTTGGTTTGTCTCACTTCCGTACGACTTGTGGTAACCTTGTATAATGGAAGTCTTTGTGCACTGGGTGTGACTTTTTTATCTATAAAAATTAAACACTCGGCACAATAAGCCGCACTCCTATCTATCTAGGGCGGTTTACATCGGCATGTCTTCTCTACTCGGTGCCTTGTGAAGCCATATACATTATCATATTTCAACATGGTTCAGGTTACTCCTTTATACCAGGGCATTAGTTGGTCTACCCTGCGCAGGAAGCAACCATCTGACATGGCTTCTACTTTTATATTCAACTGAAGTCTGTTTTAACTTACTTCTATGAGTTTGGTGCTTTCTTTTTCTTTTCTTTGTGTTGTTATTTTGGTGGGGGTGAACGGGAATGTTCGTTCTTGAATATCCAAACTTTGTGTACCATAAAGCGTATTTGGCCTTTTAGTTTTCTTGTATCTTGACTTAGCTCAACAGGCATTCTTAGAACTACTCTCTAGAGCGATGAGTTGTTGTACAATTGCAGTTGTTTTAAAAATAGAAGTATCTTTTGTTGAATTCCTGTGGTAAATATTCTCTGACTCAATACATTTCAGACATGTTCAAATATACACATGATATTTTGTTGAGGTTATGTATTTTGACCCTTTGAGAAATTTTTTTTGAAAATAATATGTAGAAATTATTTTTAAATCATGTAATTAAAAAAAAAGTAGAAAAGAAAAATTATTATTTTTAAATTTAATATATTGAATCAAAAAATTATGTAATTTAAAAAATTATTGTAAGTTAAAAAATGCTTGAATTTTAGGTTCTATAGTATATTTAGGCACGTAGTTGTGATTAGTTTAATATAAATTTCTGGTTTTATGAGATACTTTAAATATTTATTTTTTAGTTCGACTGTCATGTGTGTTTGGATTTTTTTATACGCACTTTAATTATCTTTTTTTCGGTCTGGTCAAAAATAGGTAATACATGTAGATTAAAATATTTATGAAAGATAAATTTTTTTAAGTTAGTATATATTTGTTTAGATAGGAACTTTGTTTTATCTTTGCCGTGAGCTGATTCTTTTACGTAGTTAATGTAATACGGCGCCGTTTTAGTGAATATGTACGCATCTACCTGGCATGACTGAAATATAAAGGATCTAAATTAAAAATTTATGAATTAATCTGGAATTGGTAAGCAGAATTGTCTTTTCAATATTTTTTGGGCAATCTTGTCATTGAAGTTTAGTTCTATTACGTAGGAATAATCTTGGAAATTATTGGCCTTTTGATTTATGTTTCAAAAAATAGTATTTAAAAATTATTTTTAAAAAATTATTTTGGTATTTTTTTGTGTCGCAGAATTTATTTAGTTATATAATTTTAAAAACAATTTTATGAAATAAAAAACATTAAAATTTCTTTGAAGGTTGGCTAAAGTTTATTTTTTAACTATTTTAGATAGTTTCTTTCTGAAATATGGTTTCAACGGATTAGTTATTTTCTTATTTATTTCTCATAACTCTATTTTCACCAGCTATATCTAGTTAGTCACTTCTCACTAGTTACATCCAACAAAACCTCCTACAAATCTAATAAATTTTCCAAAAAATTCAACAAAATCTTTTAAAAATTCAATAAATTTTTCCCAAAAAACTAACTTCGGTTATTTGGTTTGGGAGTAGTAATTTTTAAGAGGTGGGTAGCCTATAATTAATTAAATTTTTACAATATATATTTGAATTACTATTTTTTGATTGTATTATTGAAAATTAATTAAAATTAATTGAAATGATTAGTTAAAATAGATAGCGTTGTTGGAGTAAATTTAAAAAAAATAATTAATTAAAATAGATAATATAATATTTAAATATATTTTAAATAATTATTTTAGATACCATTATTGAAATTACTTATAGTCCTTGTTGACAAATCTTAGGGTCCTTGTCATTTTTATTCTATTTTTAATTCTAATTTCAACCGAATTTACAAGTGTATCCTTTCGACACTATATATACTACCTAGGACGCTTTCTCGCCTAGGGTTCGACACACTTCTTCGCCGGTGTATTCTAGCAGCCGCCTTCTGCCGAGTCTGAAACCCTAGCAATGGTAAGCCTATTCAACTGTCTTCCTCTCCCTTTCTCACTCGTCTTCAACACTTAAATCGAATTGATCTGTTTAGATTTGTATGTATTTTCAAGTACTTTGTATTGATGTTTGCGCATTTGATTTTTTGCAGTCGCTGGTAGCGAATGAAGATTTTCAGCACATTCTTCGTGTCCAGAACACGAACGTCGATGGAAAACAGAAGATTATGTTTGCATTGACCTCCATCAAAGGTATCGGTCGTCGTTTCGCCAACATCGTCTGCAAGAAAGCCGATGTCGACATGAACAAGAGGTATTTCCTTTGCTTCTATTCTGAAAGTCTGGTTCTCCTACTTCTCGACTTATTTTTTCTCATAACTTTTTTCTTTTTGGAAGTATATAATTGTTGTAAAAATTAGTTTTAGCTTTCTATTCTTTTATCCGCGCTGATCTTTATAGCGGGAGTGGAGGTAACGTGATTAAAGTAAATCTGTCTTCTTTTGTATATGGATTATGTTGCAACAATGATAGTGGTTTGTTTGACTTGATTTTCTGATTGAATCATCTTCCCTTGTCATTGTCACCTCCTCTGTTTTGTTCTCATCTTGAAAACCTCGCTTATGATAAAAGTGTATAGATTTGGCAATGTTGATATTGAAAAGAATAGCATACGGGGAAACTGAAGATATCGCAAGCCTAATAGAAAGCATCTTGTGTAGCAATGCTCGAAAGCATATTTTGGATGGATTGTTGAGTGATAGAGCTGTTTTAGTATTCGTGCCATGATTGGGTGGCCCATGTATGTTTGGTGGCTTAATTGTTTCATGTAATAATGAAGTAAGAATGAAATGAAGTACGTATACAAGTAGTTGACAGTTGAGATGTTCCTTTTCCTTATGCTTCTTTTCTGTGATTTGTTATAATATGGAACTGACTGACGGGGTTTATTGCTTAGAGGACAAAAATTTTGAATTTCCCCAGAAACTGTGATATTTTATATCCAAGTTTCTTTCTATGGACTGCCTTTTTATTGCATTTTTTTTAATATAGTGCTGTGTAGAGCCCAATGGAGCCAGTGAGACAATAGATTGGGTTTTCCAACCACACAAATACCAATTTGCTTATTGTTTTCAATGCATGTAATGATTCATGTGAGCCGCATATAACTTGCTAATTGCAATATGTTTTTCGTTGGACACTTCTGAGGTTTTTCCCGATTATAGTGGGTCTGGATTCTATTATCTGCTTTTGATTTTTTCTTATTGCCTGGGGCTGTCTAAATTTGGTCTGACTATATCACTCGTGTAGGGCTGGCGAACTTTCTGCTGCTGAGATTGATAACCTGATGGTGATTGTCGCAAATCCTCGACAGTTCAAAATCCCTGACTGGTTCCTGAACAGGAAAAAGGATTATAAGGATGGAAAGTATTCTCAGGTGACATCGAATGCACTGGACATGAAGCTGAGGGATGATCTTGAGCGATTGAAGAAGATCAGGTTTACTTTTTGTTCTGTTTTTTTTGAATCAATTACATTTTGTAGCTGCAGCTTTTTTAATGATCCTGGAGTTGTCTTTGTTCCACAAGCCACATATGGGTGTAACGAGTAAATGCCAACGGTTTGTTTGACTCTTTTGATGTATAATCTTCTTTGGCATGTTTTCATGTGTTAATTGTTCTACTTCGGGACAGGAACCACCGTGGTCTTCGTCACTATTGGGGTCTTCGAGTGCGTGGGCAGCACACTAAGACTACTGGTCGCAGGGGAAAGACTGTTGGTGTCAGCAAGAAGCGATAATCTATCTGGTTCTATGCTTTATGTTTGTTTTATTGTTTCTGCAACCAGTTTTGTTTGTTTTTAGATCTCTCAAATGAGCATGTTTTTGAAGATTTAAACATTGAGTGCACTGCTTATTTCGTAGTATTGTACCGCTTGGATATTCTTAGTTTCTTTTCCGTCTGTCTTATTGTTCAACTATACACCCTGCTGGTCAAATATAGTAGCATTTCGAGTTCATGGGATTTTATATGTTATAATATTAAGAAAATATAATTATTCAATCTAGGACACTTAAATGTAATAAGGAAAACTGATGTTAACTTGAAATATTTACCAATGATCACTTATTCCGTTGGATTAACTCGCCCAGCGATTTATCACCCTAGAGCAAGATGCATAATTGAATCGACTCGCCCAGCCATGCCTCTTATGCCCTCATCATCTCATTGTGTTTCTATTTGTGGGTGACCCTAGGACACTGGTGGGTGGCGGTGGTGGTTGTATGTTTTTTTGGTTATTTATTCCCAGTTTAACAGGTGTAACTCAAATCTATTTTGATTGGAAATGAATTAGGGTTGATTGAATTATAGCTCACATCGTTATTAATTCCCTCCTTTACACCCATTTACGGCCTAATGCCATTGTTAAATGGATTGTTGATTTGGATATTATCGATGTTCGAGGGTTTAAGGGTCTCAAGCAGCATAACGACAACCTGTAGCGGCACAAATTCGGTGGACTTTTTCCAATGGATACAAGGAACTGGAAACTGTAGGGCCAAAATCCAATGGAGTTGAATTCTCAGCTGATAGACGTGAGAAACTTATAAAATTTAGGGGATAATAATAGGTAGTGTCAATACGAACCAACCAAGTATGTACATACATAACGAACTCTTATATCCTAGAAATAAAACACTATGATTGGTATTGTCTCTATTTCTGATCTTGAAACTTGGAAGAGTTCCCTGTGATCGACCATGTTCAGGCTGGAAAATGATGCAGTTAAAACATCAATGTACCAAAAACATAACCTTATGTTACGATTCATACAATACATAGCATAGAATAGGTACCAGAAACAGAAATTGATCCACTCACACAGACACAGAGAACTTTATCACATCCTTGTTTAATGTATAGACTACACCCATACTCGACTATCTCCTAAGCCTATTTACTTTCTCTCCCGTTACTTCTCCTGATTGAGCCTAGCAGCAGCTGCCATTGACCCCGCCACACCACCAGGATGGGTAGCCATGTCGGGTTTCTTCCGAATCTCGGCAGCAATAACACCTTGAGCATCTTCTCTGGTCACTGGCTTGTCATCTGGAAGTCTCGTGGTGGCATCCTGTAGAACATTAATGAACTTCCAATTCATTGGACCATCACTGACAACAAAAGTCAAGACAGAATTAAGGAAGAGAATTACTGCCAAAACATCAGCGAGCTTGGTCTTGTTTTCGTCGAAGATAAGCTGTGCATTGAATGAGGCTGCAGACTGAGCGGCTGCACCTACACCGCCAGGGGTTACTTGACCAAGGCCGGTAGCTCTAGCCTCCGCCGCCTGTATGGCTGAGGCGTCACCCTGGTCGACTGGTTTGTCACCTGCCGCCAAAGCGGTTGCTTCCAGAGCTTCTCCAACGGTGATGGCATCACGGCCTGGTGCAGATGCTGGACTCGTCATTCCCAGTACTGGTCCTGCGTCAACATACTGTCCCACAACCTGTTTCCCGTAAAACGATCAACTGATCTTAAACCCTAAACTTTCACAATCAGCACTAAGCAAATGAAGATAGTTATATTAATCACGAACTCGTCTAAAAGGATAAATTTTTAGAGAAGATGTAATCTATCATTTACACATGCAGACAAAATTGATGTTGTTATATACCTGTCCACCGACTGCTTCAGTGACAATACGGTAACCGACGACCTCAGCTTCGGCTACAGTAACGCCCTGATCTACGGCCATATTTGTGACATCGTCGTGGCCAACAAGACCGGTCTTCTCGTTCGCCGCGGCTGCGGACTGCATGACAGAGGCAGGGCCACCCTTTGTAGTCTCTCCAAGAGCTATGTTTTCAGCTGATTGCATGGTGGCTACTTCTTGTGGTGCTATGGTTGTCGAAGACAAGTCACTGGAGACGTTAAAAACATCACCGTATCTGATGGGTTCTTCCACACCTTGGGGTCTCCGTGGTTGTTGCTGCTGACTCATTTTAGGCTAGAAACGGAACAGAAACTTTGACGTGATAAGAAAACTACTGGGAACTTTATGAGAGAGACAGAGAGAGGGGGCAGAACGCAGAAACTTCTGCTTCAGTCGTGGGGTGTACGTGCATATACTTCCCTGGATGGCCATGGTGGTGATTGATAAGGTTGAGACAGCGTAGAAATTACACGTGTTGAAGAAAGACTTAACGATTGCATGTTACAGGTGGAGGTTTGCATGCAAACAAAGTAGACCTGTCATCAACTTGGTCTCTCACAATTGAGTAAATATCAGGTACAATCATAACACCATATTATTATCCACACATGTCACCAGCAATAATTATTTTTAAACTTTGGGTAATTACCAAATGAGAGGTGATTATTTTTTGCGGGCCTCTTCATCCGTCTTAGTCTCTTTTATGTTAAAGATCACTAGTAATTGTCTTTTGAAGTTAGAAATTTGAGTCTTAGAGTCTCCGTTAGAGTTCAATAGTTAATCGCTATGTTAATATAATTAAATTTATTTTGAGAAAAATAATAAATGCGGTCAAAAACTTTATTATCCCACTAATAAATGAGAGCTTATTAGAATGATTTCTGTGTTTTCTTCTTTACCCCACTCCTACCCCTTTTCACCCCACTCCGGCACTCCCTACCCCTCACCCCCATTCACACCCTCACCCGTGTGATACAGTAATTGACAAAATTTTTGTTCTGTATTATTATAGTAATAAATATTAATGCTTGTAGATGAGCAATTGGATATAAAATATGAGTGCCGTGTTAATTGGGCGTTATAGTTAGAGATAAGTGAGGTTTAGTTATGACATGTGTTGTGTGTTAATTGGAGAAAAAAATTAGAATTTATATTTAAAATTTCAGAATTTTAAATAAAGTGAGGGAAAGTTTTTCAAACCTCCTCCCAAATAAAATGATTGTTACAGTAATATAAATAGACTAACAATAATAATTTTGTACCTAAATACACTCTGTAATACCAAAAATAAAACATTAAATCGTATAATACTTATATTTTTAATCACACAATTTATAATTAAAGTGAACTAATAAAAAATAAGAGACAGATATGAACAAAAAAATTGAGGTTTTTTAGTAAGAAAAAATTTTTAAGATAAATTTTGTACGATTAGATCAAAATAAATAAAAATTGAATCATTCTTGATAGTACTCAGATTTTAGGGCCCAAGCCCGATTATGATGGGGTGATATTGTGAGAATGGCTTTGCAGATTGTGGATTAAACTTTTATGAACAGTTGGACAAGGAATGTAAGTGGTTCACCTTAGCCGAAGGATTAAGACTACGTTCACTATCAACGGAGTCTTTTGCTCGCTGGGATTATGTATTCATCTGCTAGCAAAGTGCCTCTAGTGACTTGGGACTCAGGGTCCACTTACAAAAAATGATTATTTTGGTATTCTTTCTCAACTTTCTACGCTCTCTGCCTCTCAAATGTTCTCTAATCTTTTTTTTGTTGGGGGAGATGCCGTTGTAATCCTTTGCTTATCGTTATCCATTTATATCAGTTTCTCCTAGGGCCTCCAACTGTCCTTTCCTCTGACCCCCTCCTGCTTCTTCTACCACCACGATCATTATTCATCCAGCGTCCCTGTTCATCCGGCGTTGTCGTTACCATGATCTTTGGCGGCTTGGTGCTCTACCTTCTGGGATTGCTGCAGGCGTCAGGGGTGGTCCCCTTTGCTCATCCAGAAATAACTTGGATTGGACTTTTACTCTCCGAATCGCCTTATGATTTGGGCTGGACCTAGATTGTTGGGCTGTAGGCTTTTGCCGATGCTAGGTCCCGCTTTTCTACTCCGGACCTCTTGGGCTGGTCAGGCGTTTGAGCCATCAAGGTCTGGCTTTGAGTTTCGTCCGTATCAGTTGCCCCCCAGCCCCAGGTCATGAAGACGTTATCGTTTCTGGCTTGGGGTTAAAAATGACTTTTCTAGGCTTGTTATGGACTTTCGAAATGATGATTGTGCCCAACTATTGGTTTTGATCAGGATTGGGCCATGTTTCCATTTGTCGACGATGATGGGATGACAATATACACGTGTCACCATCGGGTGAGCTCGTGGAAACGGCTTTTGGGGCGTGTCCTGTCACTTGCCTGTCACGAATTTAATGTTTCACACATACATATACGTCCTTCAAAAGGAAAAAAGGGGGGAAGGTGTCTTGGCTTTTTGTTCTGTGTTTCTGAGTCCCACTTTCCTTCGTGCTCCTTTCCCTTTCTATGCATTTGAATTTGATCCAGAATCTTGGGAGACTTACGACATCCTTGTTTCTGCTTCTACTCTTCCTCTAGCGTTTCACTAGGTACGTCCTTCTTCCTCTCTCCTTGCTATTTCGACTTGGATCCATTTAACCCTCCCTAGTGGGATTTTGGGTTTCGCTTCCTAATCTGGAGGTTTAGTTATTTTAGAGAGCACTCTGATGACCTTTCTTTCCTTTCACGATTTATAAGTCATTCATTAGTGGCGAGGGTAGCCTTACTCAAGACCTGGTGTTTGAAACTTTTATTTTTGACGGATTGTGCCTTGCATTTCCCTTCCCTTCATTTTGGTGTGAGGTCTAACCTTTTGATGGGGAAATTTGTCATTTCCTTTTCTTCTTTCGAGTCGGAATCTGTTAGTGGGAAAACCGAGGAGACCACTATCGCTTCCTCTAGTGGGCGTTCTCTTTCCGCCGATGGCAGAACCCTTGAGTCTACTACTGGAGTTACATCCCCGGTGCTTCCAGCCGAGGTTGCGCCTCTTTCTGCCCTGCCCCCTGGTTCTCTAACCCGAACGAAGAAGAGGAAATTCGGGCCGGCTCCGCCCCCCGTTTCTAAAAAATGAACTCGTCATGAACCGTCTGACCTGTTGTTGTGCAGAGGGGACACCTAGTTGTCTCGGTGATGAGGATTTGGAGGAGTTGAGGCGTGAGTATCACTTTTCTGATGCCGTGGAATTACATTCCCTTGGGAAGCACGAAAGGTGCAATTCTATTCTTCCCGGACTCACTTGCTTCTTGGAGTCTGCATTCCGGGCTGGTCTTCGATTTCCTATCCATTTTTTTATCTGGAACGTTCTTGGTTTCTACAATGTCTGCCCTGCCCAGTTGTCCCCCAACGGTTGGGGCCTTCTGGTTGGTTTCCTCGTCCATTGGTTTGAGAGCGGGAACTTTCTCCTCCCCTCTATACGAGAATTTGCTTTTCTTTTCTAGTTGAAGTCTTCTCCCTCCTCAGGTTTCTTGTATTTTGCTAAACGACTAAAGGCGAAGACTCTGATCTCCGGGCTTTCGTCTTCCAATGAAGGATGGAAACCAAGGTTTTTTTTTCCAAGGGTGATTCCTGGGAGTTGTCGGGGGAGCCTGGCGACGTTCCTCGTGTTCCAAGATCTTGGAGGGTCCCAAGGAACACTCGTAAGGCTAATCTACCGGCCGCATTCCCCTTTGTTATCTTCTTTTCTCCTCATTTTCTTTGTGTTTCTAACTTTTGATTTGAGTTGCAGAATTCTGCCCAATACTCGGCACGGAGGAGGCAGATTGCTAGAATTGAGGCATTTGGGTTGAGGAACTTCTTCGACTTGGTGACCGACGAGAACCTCGCTAAACACGGGCTTGGACCGCCCATTATCTGAGCTTCAGAGGCTGCTCCACTTTCTGTCTCCCAGTCGGGTAACGTGGACCAAGATCTTATCATGACGGTATTCTCGGATACCGAGCAGTCGAGAAAGAGGAAGAGATTGGAGAGGGGAGGTCAGCTGCTACCCAAGGAGGCGTTGGCCACTAGGCCCATACCCACTTCTTTGGGACAGAAAAGTGAAGTCGTCCCTCCCCGAGGGGATGCTGTCGTGCCCCCGCCTCCTCCTGCACCTTCCAAAGGTGACACTGGCTTGGAGGGGGCTTTAGCGGATAAGCTCAGTTCTTCGGTTCTCCATTCTGTCTTACCTGAGATGGTTCCTCCAAAGGGTGAAAGAGGGGAGTCCGGCCCTTCTAAGTCTAAGGTGAGTGGAGGCGGCTTTCTTCGCGATCCTGAAGCCACAGTGGCCGCTCTATCAAAGCTGATCTCTAGGTCGAATCCTCAGTCAGTGATGGAGGTTCCTTTTAAAAAGAAGGTCCACCATACCATCCAAGGCCTGGATGAGGTATCTTCTTGTTCCTTTTAGTTACTCAAGTCATTCTTGAGTTCTTTTCTCATTTTGTGCATTGGTTGATCCCCTTCTCTTTTTTTTGTAGTCGCTCGCATGCGTGAAAATGTTGGATATTCATCATGAGTGGGATCTCCAGAAAGCCCAGGATGCTCTTGATGCTATGACAGTCAACAAAGATGCTGCCGAGAGTAAGTTGCAGGTTTTGGTTTCTGAGGCCTTAGAATTGAAGAGGATCAATGATGAGCTGGACTCCCGCCATCAGGACCACATTGCGCTCAAAGAATCGCAGATCGAGGGTTTAGAGGCTAAGCTCAAGGCTAAAGATGCGGACCTCGTGGCCAAGGACGACAAAATCAATGCTAAGGCTACAGACCTGAAGGCCAAGGATTTCGAGTTGTCGTCTTTGTGAGCCCGGGTGTCTGATCTGTTGAAAAAGTGCACCTTAACCTTTGTGGATGGGTTCATGAACTGTAGGGACCAGATAGAGGATGCTCATTCGAACCTTGACCTGTATTCCTTTGTGCCACATCTTGAGTTCAAGAAGAGGTCAGTGACTGCTGAAGAGGTCGTGGTGCTAGGGACTAAGGGGGCTTCCGTTTCTAAGGAACCCGATGTCTTGGTTGAGAAGACTGACGAGGGAGTCGGCGGTAGTGGTAAGGCGACTACCTGACGCGGACCCATGGTTGCTTCTCCTTTTTCATTTTTGGTGATTCGACAAAGATCTTTGTAGTACCTTTTTTTTGTAATTTTCAGTTTAGAACGGCTTTTTACTAGGAATGTCGTTGTTCTCTTATTGCTTATAAACAATATCTTCTTCTCTGGTTCTGTTGAATGACAATGATGATGTTGTTTGCTAACTTCGAGATCCCTAATTTATGATTCCCGAGCTATTTCGTGTGGCCGTGGTGGGGCCAAACGCCTTGGCCTTGTGTAGCCGAGCTGATTTTGGTCTCTTCCAAGGCGGGTTAATCATAGACCAGGGCGAGATAGCAGACTCAGCCAGAAGTCGCATGCCCCTTCCTTTAAGTGTTTTCCTGTGAACCATGGGGTCATTTTGTTCTCTTCACACATCTTTCTCCGTACTATAGTTATGACGGTTTCACCTGTTAAAGAACGTGCGCCGCCAATGGGGATAATGGCTCATTGATCATGACGTTTCGGTGATTCCCACTACGCCACGTGTTCCTTACTTAAATGCGAGGGGCGTGTATTAATTGCACCCGACTGGGATGATGGATACATGTCAGCTAGGGTTATAAATGGGCGTTTCTAGGGACTGATTGCCTTTCCTTAGGTGTTAGAACTTTTCGCTTTCTCCGTAGTCACAACTTTTCTCCTTCAGTATCTTGCCTTAGGAAGATATTTTCCTCTTGTTCTCATGGCTAGGGTCCCTCCCTCTTCTTGCAATGTTATGGAATGTCTCTTTCC